TTATACTAAATTTGTTAATTATGCTGTTCAAATCTTGTGGCTTTTTTTTTTTTTTTTGGTAGAACTGGGGTTTGAACTCAGGGTTTGTACTTGCAAAGCAGGTGCTCTACCACTTGAGCCACACCTCCAGTCCATTTCGCTCTGGTTATTTTGGAGATGGGGTCTCACAAACTATTTGCCCAGGGTGGCCTCAAATTTTGATCCTCCTGATCTCAGATTCCCAAGTAGCTGGGATTATAGGAGTGGGTCACTGGCACCCAGCTCTTACTGAATATTTTTTTTGCCTGCTTGTAAATCTACCAATTCCAGAAGGAGGTGACTTAAGTTTCTCATTACATTGGTTGATTTGTTGTTTTCCTTGCTATTTCTGCTTTATGTTTTTGTTTGTTTGCTTTTCTTTCTTTCTTTTTTTTGAGACAGGGTCTCACTATGTAGCTGAGGCTAGCCACAAATTCTCAGTATTCCTGCCTCAGCCTCTCAAGTGCTAGGATTACAAGCATGTACTACCATACCCAGTTGCTTTATGTTTTTTTGAAGCTCTGTTACTAGGTGCATACAAGTGTAGAAAGTTTGTATCTTTTTCTTATTCTCCTACTCCTTCTTCTGTGGTGCTGGGGATAGAACCCAGGCATGTTAGACAAGTACTGTGTCACTGAGCTATGCCCCAGCCCTTCATCTTCATGATAGATTGAGACAACTCTCTGCCGGGTGGATTTTTTTCCCAAGTCTACCAGATGTGTCATTTTTGGGCATCTTTGACTTTTGCAAGGGGCAGATTGTCTCTGATTCATTTCCTACTTTACAAGGCCCCAGAGTTTGTCTTGATTCTTTCTGGATTTGCAACTTAGGGAGAGAGTTTTATTTTCTTGCTAGTTTAGTCCTGTATTAAAAATAACACCTACACACGCATGCATATGCACACACATTTCATGGGTTTTTTTGGACACATAGTTCACTCTATTGCTAGAAATACAAGTCTGTGCTTAGCCCTTTATATAAAATTTTATTTAAGATTAAAAGTTTTGTGAAGTCCTCTGGCCATTTTTTTCAGGCTCAACAAGTTTGTGACTGAATTCAGATCCTAACTGTGATGTTTCAGCTGTGTGACTTTGAGTAAGTCACTCACTAAAGTAGCCCACTGAAGCTGGGCGCTGGTGGCTCACACCTATAGTTGTAGCTATTCAGGAAGCAGAGATCAGGAGGATCAAGATTCAAGACCACCCTGGGCAATGAAAGTGAGACTCTATGTCAAACATGCACAACACCATAAAGGGCTGAGGGCATGGCTCAAGTGGTACAGCACCTGCTTAGCAAGGGTGAGGCCCTGAGTTCAAACCCCAATACCAAGGCCTGCCTTGCAGAGATGGACAACAGCTCAATGTAACACGTGGAAAGTCCCTGCCTCAGTGCCTGGTGCCGTGTTGGTGCTCAAAAGATACTAGTGGCCATGGCTGTCTAAAGGGAGGTGATACACATGTGTATAAGGGACTGGTCTCACCAAGAAGTGTTGAAATGCAGTTCAGTGTCTGCTCAAGAGTTACCAGCAGAACATAAAAGGCACAGATCCAGCTGGGTGCAGGTGGCTCGCGCCTGTAATCCTAGCTACTCAGGAGGCAGAGATCAGGAGGATTGCGGTTTGAAGCCACCCCAGGCAAATAGTTCAAGAGACCCTATTTCGAAAATACCCAACATAAAAACGGGCTGGCAGAGTGGCTCAAGTTTTAGAGCACCTGCCTAGCAAGCGTGAGGTCCCAAGTTCAAAGCTTATGCCGTCAAAAAAAAAGGGGGGGGCACAGATCCCTGACTTCACTCCCTTAAGATTCTGATGGTGATTTGTAATGCATGGCTGGGTTTGGATACCTGTGTTACCTAGGGTGTGGCTCATGAGGTATTCTCTACCTCATTCCTCTGGCTGTCATCAGGAGAGTCACATGGAAAGGATATCTGTAAACCAGATGTGGTGGTGCACACTTGTAATCCCAGCACATCGGAGGCTAAGGCAGGAGGACTAAGAGTTTGAGGCCAACCTGGGCTACATAGTGAGACCCTGTCTCAAAAATCAAAAACCAAGCAAACAAAAAAGAAAGCATAGTGTAGTAACTTCCACAGCTGCCAAGAGGAGGCCAGAGCAGCCCTGCTTAGTTAGACAACAAGCAATTCATTTTTAATTTAAGTTTTTGAATAGGTAACAGATATGTATGGCTTCACAATCAAAATAATATATAAAGAAGTTCACTGGGAAGCTTCTCCCACCCTGCCACAACCTTTCTCTGTCCCCCTGGCTTCCCCAGTACCCTATAGGCCACCCCTATGCAAATTCAAACAAATAAAACATTTATTCTTATTTCCACCTAAGTTTCTTACTTGAAAAAATGACATAGCTGGGCACTGGTGGCTCATACCTGTAATCCTAGCTACTTAGGAGGCAGAGATCAGGAGGACTATAGTTCCAAGCCAGCCTGGGCAAACAGTTCAAGAGGCCCTACACTGGAAAAAAGTCCACAAAAAAAGGGCTGGTGGAATGGCACAAGGCATAGGCCTTGAGTTCAAACTCTAGTACCACCAAAAAAAAAAAAAAAAGAAAAAGAAAAAGAAAGAAAAATGACATACTATAATGTTGTGTTATATATATAGTGGTGGTACTGGGGTTTGAACTCAGGGCCTCACACTTCCTAGGCAGGCACTCACCACTTGAGTCACTTGGCCAGCCCCTTTCTATGTTGGATATTTTTGAGATAGGGTCTTGTGAATTATTTGCCCAGGACTGGCTTTGAACTTGTTCCTCCTGATCTCTGCCTCCTGAGTAGCTAGGATTACAGGCAGGAGCCATCAATGCCCTGCTTGCACCATATTTTTGTTTCAAAATCTATCCTAGAGATTTTTCCCATTTTTTTCTGGCATACTCATTTTGTTTTGTAACAGCTGCATAGTTTTTCACTGTGAGGCATCATAGTTTGTTGAATTCTTCACTGTTGAGTATAATAGCCACACATGACTGTTTAAATGACTTTTATTTGTGGTTGTTGCAGTTCCAGGGATAGAAACCAGGGCCTTGGGTATGCTAGGCAAGTGTTCTGAGCTACACCCCCAGCATTTACATTGAAATTAAAACGAAGTAAAATTTAAAATTCAATTTTCCAGTTTCACTAACCACTTTTTGAGTGCGTAGTAACCACATTGGCCAGTTTGGTCACTGGCTAATGGGCTGGACAGCACAGAGAACAACTTCATCATCGTGGAACGTTTATCAGATAATACTGGTTTAGTTGATTCCCTACAGTTGGGCACCTGGTTTGTTTTCAGTCTTCAGGAAATTCAGAAGGATGAGGTCCATCCCTGGGATGCAGGAGAGATGGTGAAAGCTACTCTGGAAATGCTGGGTCTTTCGCCCCAAAGATCTTGAAACTTAGGAGGCTCTTGCAAGAGGAGGGCTTTTGCTGGGGGCTGGTGGCTCACGTCTGTGATCCTACCTACTCAGGAGACAGAGATCAGAAAGATCATGATTTAAAGTCAGCTTGAGCAAGTAGTTTGTGAGATTCTACCACAGACTCAAAAAACAGGGCTGGTGGAGTGGTTCAAGTAGTAGAGCACCTTCCTGGTAAGTGTGAGGCCCTGAGTTCAAATCCCAGTACTGCCAAAAAAAAAAAAAAAGAGGAGGGCTTTTGGGTTTGGGGTAGAGGCTTGACCAAACCTGAGAAAGACCAGTCATCTTGTCTGACCCTAACCTTTTAGTTCCTCCCTAAAGGCCTGCCAAAATATAGTTCTGTTTCTCTTATTTGATGTTTAGCAAACACTTCTTATTGCTCTGGGGGGAACAAGGATGGAAAAGACCTAGTCCCTGCCTTGGAGAAACCCACAGTCCAAAGAAAGAAACAGATCCTGTGAGCAGGACCTTCAAGGAGTTCTCACCTAAGACCAAACAGGGTTTGTGAAGACATCGGGAAAGGCAATTTCATCCACGATGGGGGTTGCAAATTGGTACAAACTTATTGAAGGGAAATTCTGTAAATATTTATTTTGTAAATATCTGTAAATTCTGTAAGTATCTGTAACTTCTATAAATATTTTTTAAAAATTTAAAAACATAGGCCAGACAAGGCAGTTCAGGTCTGTAATCCAAACACCCACGAGGTAGAGATCAGGATGATTGTAGTTTGAAGCCAGTCTGGGCAAATAGTTCTCGAGACCCTATCTCAAAAACACCCAGCACAAAAAGGGGCTGGTGGAGTGGCACAGGGTGTGGGCCCTGAGTTCAAACCCCAGTACCAGCAACAACAAAAAAAAGGAGGGATAAGAAAGAGGGATAAAATTTAAAAGCATATAACCTTTGACTCAGTAATGTTATAGTTATAAATTTATTTTAGGAATATACACTCAAGTTCAAACAAGTATTCAGTACTAAAATATTTCCTGCAGGCATCATTGTTTGTAGTAACAAAAGGCTGACACAATGTAAATACCCACCAGGAGGGGAATAGTGAAATAAGTTGTGGTACATCCACACAGTAGACAATTGTATAAGCAGGTATATATTTTTTTCTTTTTGTGGTACTGGGGCTTGAACTCAGTGCCTAAACCTTGAGCCACTCCACCAGCCCTTTTTGTGAAGGGCTTTTTCAGATAGGGTATTGTGAACTTTTTGCCTGAGCTGGCTTCAAATCACGATCCTCCTGATCTCTGCCTCCTGAGTAGCTGGGATTACAGACCTGCACTGCTTTGCCTGGCCTGTGCTTTTAAATTTTTGATAGATATTTACAGAATTTCCCTCCAAAAAGTTTGTACCAATTTGCAACCTCCAACGTGGATGAAATTGCCGGTCCCTACATCTTCACAAACACACTGTTGACAAGCCATTGGCACCCAGCAAAACTTTCTTTTTTTTGGTGGTGGTGGTGGTGGTAGTACAGTGGTTTGAACTCAGGGCCTCATGTTTGCTAGGCAGGCACTCTACCTCTTGAGCCCCTTCACCAGCCCCTCCCTCCCCTTTTTCTTTTGAGAGAGTTTTGCTATGAATCCCAGGCTGGCCTGGAACTCTCAAACCTCAGTGTCCCAGTGCTGGGATTACTGGCATACATCACCACACCAGGATAACCCTTTTAAGAGACACAAAAAGTGATAGAGGGGGTGAATTTGAGCAGAGTACATTATATGTGTATTAAATATCACAATGAAACCCCTTTGCATAGTTTATGGTAACAATAAAGAGGCACCTACTGAATAATGATGAGGGAGAGATTCCTGGAGAAATCTGCTCAGTCACCTTAGTTCTGAGGTCCCCAGTGAATGCACAATCCCTTCATCAGAGGTGATATGGTGACTAGAGTCTAGAAATGTCACCCCTGCTGTGACTCCATCCATCACCACTGGGAGCTTCGCCCTTTCTTAGCTGTAATACCACCTGTCCTCAGAAGGGGGCAGCACAGATTCATTCATTAACGCATTGGCTCCAAACTTGACCATCAAGCCTTCTTTGAAGAATTATCTTCCTCTGTGGACCATGATTGGAAAAATACTTCCTGCCAAGCCAACCAAATTTAATGGATAACTGATTACATTTTCTCCTTTTTTTTTGTAATTCATATTTCTGGTGAGCACCAGAGAGACATAATACAGGCTTGCTGAAATGGCAATTTTCCACACAAGAATTCCTACTTAGTCTAGCCTTATTTCTCCCAGGCTTTGGGTGTGTATATGTGTATGAGTGTGAGTGGGTGAGTGGCAATGCCTGAGGACCTCAGGGGTTGAGGATACAGGCTGGCAATGACTGTATTAGAGCATCCCTGGGGGCTGCAATTTTTGGCCGTAGGGCAGACTCCCAGACTCTCAGGGCTCCTCAAAGAAGTAATTCTGCGTAAGAGGAAGCATGAACCCCTCCCAGGCCATCTCAGCCAGTCCCTGAGATGAGTCTAGAGCCTGTTCTGTATTAGGCTGCCAAGGACAGGAACTCTCCTCATCAGACACACATCAGTCCTGTGCTTCTCAGGACTATACACAGTGCTGGGCACTCAGCTAAGGAAAAGTTTGTTGATGAATTGAAAGGCAGCCATTGAGAAATTAGGAACTAATTTTCTTTTTTGCAGTAATTGGGGTTTGAACGTAGGACCTCAGGGCCTTTTGCAAGGCAGGCACTTGACCCTTTGAGCCATGCTCCCAAGTCTGGCAACTAAGTCTTTTTTTTTTTTTTTTTTTTTTTTGTGGTACTGGGGCCTGAATGCAGAGCCTACACCTTGAGCCACTCCATCAGCCATTTTTTGTGAAGGGTTTTTTCTAAGATAGGGTCTCATAATTATTTGCCCAGGGTTGGCTTTGAACCACAATCCTACTGATCTCTGCCTCCTGAGTACCTAGGATTACAGGCGTGTACCACTGGTGCCCGGCTAGCAACTAAATTCTTAAAAAACAAGAAAGAAAAGAAAAAAAAGACATTTCAGCTAATTTCAAGGGCAAACACCCAAGGGCAAGGTCTGGTCTGTTCCAGGATGAGGGATGTGCCATGGGCAGGGAATGAATCCCCTTCCCAGCAGGCCTAAGAAGAATCCTGCCTTGACCCATCTTGGAGGTGGCTGACTAGGACATGAAATAGGGACCTCATCTCTCACTGCCTGGAGTGCTGGTGACCTTGAGGAAAGGCTTAAATCAGGTCAGCCTGGGGGGAAGGGGCTGGCTCATGCAGGGTCTTCCTCTATATTAGATATTTAATTTCTCAGCTCCTGCTTAAACTCTTGTAAGTGGTTCTGAATTCCAGGACAGGAGGAGGGACATATCAGAGGCAGAATCACTTATGTGCCTTAGCCTGGACTGTCCTGGAGAAAATCCACGGCTCAGTTAGTGGGCTTTCCCTCCCCAAGGCACTGGTAGTGGAGGGAGGGCCCAATCTGAGGGGATCCCACAAAGTAAATAGGAAGTGAGAGGACCAACTGAAAAGAGCCTTGACTCCCCCTGCCCCCAAATCTGGGTAAGAAGGACCAGGACAGCCAGCAACTCCAAGACTAGATTTTGGAAGTGGACAAACAGGAGGCCTGTTTTGTCCTTTATTGGGTGTGCACCCTGGACAAGTCACTTAACCACTCTGAGCCTAGTTTCCCCATTTCTAAAATGAGGACATCCATACCTACCTTTGCCAGTCGCTGTCGAGATGAAGAGCTTGAGAGTATTTCTGTAGTTAGCAGAAATCCGAGATTACTATGTTTCACGAAGAGAGACCACCCTAGGTCCCTGGTGGTAACACAGCCCCACCCCACCTTCTGCCATGCCTGCTCCTTTCCCAGCTTAGTAGCGGGCTTTAATTCTGCGTTCCTCACAGCTCTGCTTCTCCTTGACACCACCTTGGTTGTACTCAGCTTTTCCAGCTTGCCCTTTTCCATGGGTGCCCATTCTAAAGCCACTGGAGATGTCAGAACAGGCACAGTTGGTCAAGTGGCACAGGTGGTGAGGGTCTCCGCTGGCCAGGCCTGTGCTCCCCAACCTGTTTGGGGATCCTGTTTGCAGATGGTTCCCTTTGATCCTCAGCTCATCTCTGGGCTAAACAGAGGAGAGATATAAGAGGTGGGGGGCATGGAAGGAGGTTCCCACCTTTTCAGTCCGGGAACATGAGAGGGAGACCGCAGCCCTTGTGCCCCAACTCCGCACCACCTTAGGTCTCCAAGGCGCCCGCATTTGTGGACAGTCTTCCACCGCAGGTCTGCCCCCTCCAATCCGAGGCTGTGACCCCCTTCGCCCATCTCAGCTCCGGGTGAGAGGAGACATGCGGTTCTAGGACCCGGAGGAGCAGCCGAGCGCGCCCGCCGCCGCCGCGGCCTCGCCTGGGTCAGCTCCGGCTCCGGCAGGTGAATCGGCGCCGGCGGCCCCCTCCGCGGCAGGTGCAGCGGTCTACAGCCCCCTCCGCGGCGCGCCATGGCTGCTGAGGACCCCAGGCCAGCGGCCAGCGTCCGGCGCCCGCCCCCTCCCTGCAGCCTGCCCCCCCTGGGGCTGGGTGCGCGGCGGCGGCGGCGGCAGCGAACTGCGGTTTGCGCGCACCGGGAACGACAGCAGAAGTTCGAAAATCGCCGAGGGGGGAGCCCGCGCCGCAGCTTCCTGCCCCCGGCCCAGCCCTCTGGCCCCGGCGGCCTGCAGCCTGACTTCCTCCCCCCACCCTGAGCTCGCGCCCTCGGACGGGGCCGCCCCGATGGGACGCCGCGCCTCGGTCCCTGCGCGCAGCTGAACCGAGCGCCGCACCGCCGAGCCCCGCCACAGCAGCCAGTCGCTGTCCCCTCGCCCCCCGCGCCGGGAGCCTCGTCTCTGTCCCCCGGAAAACTGGATTTCCGAGGCTGGAGGCGCCTGGCTGGCTGGGTGGGGACCACCATGGGCAACGCGGCCGGCAGCGCCGAGCAACCTGCGGGCCCCGCCACGCCGCCCCCGAAACAGCCCGTCGCCCCCAAGCAGCCGATGCCTGCGGCCGGGGAGTTGGAGGAGAGGTTCACCCGGGTCCTGGTGAGTGTGACCCGGTGCGCTCAGGGAGCGGGCGGGGGGCGGCAGGGGCTCGGCACGCGTCCCCGCCCCCGGGGGCTCGCTCAGGTGCCGCTTGGAGATCCCCAGCCCAGCGCTGCCCCCTCCAGTGGGTGGGAGTGACAGTGGCTTTCTTCGGAGTGACTTAGCACTCTCCCCCCAAAACTTTCTTCTGCAGTCGCCCAGACTGTCTCCCTAAGACATCCCCCTCCCACGTTGCTGGCTCTAAAGGTCTTAAAAATGTCCTGTGAGGAGGATGGGAAAGGGGCCCCTGGCACCCTATTTCCCACCGCATGCAGGCCCTGCAGCCTGGTGCGGAGGATCTGGAGCATCTCCCCTTCTGTGCCTCAGGGTCAAAGATGGAAGGGCCACAATTTAACGTTCCTGGAAGCCCTAGACTTGGTCCTGGTGAAGCCCTAGAGTTGTCCTGGTTTGATCTGGTGGCTTGTCCGAGCTGCTGGGAGTTGGGTTGTCATATTGTGCAGAGGGGGTGTCTGTGTTTCTCACTCCCCATATGCCCGGGAGAGGGTGCCTGCACCCCTTATCTAGCGCATTCTCCTCTAAGTAAGCACTTAAGAGTAAGGCTAGGAAAGGCGGGGTCAGCCGGGGTTGGTCACTCTGACTTGGGGTGGAGCAAAAGTCTGGAAGCCCCCCTTCCACTGTCACCTGCCTGGGAAATTTGGTGGCGGCAGGGGTCGGGGATGCTGAGTCTAGGTCACTGGGAGGGAGCCATCAACTCGGACTGAGCCTGGAGCAATCAAAACGTGTGTGGTCGGGTGGGCTCTCCAGTGTAGTCAGGGGTCTCTGAGATGGTAGGCAGCAGAAGCAGGGAAGAGGAAGGGCGACTCATTTTCACTTCCCCCTCCCTACCTCAGTCCTCTTCCCTGCTCCTTTCTCTAACTAATTGGCCTGGTGGCCTGTCTGCTGTCAGCCTTCCCTTGATGGACACTGGGTGACAGCAGTAAGGCTGGGCTGTTTCCCAGAGAGAGCCACTTCCCAGTCTGAGCAGGCTGGCGCTTTAGGTCTGAGGGTGGGGTCCCAAGGGAGGGGCCGGCAGCAGAGTGCTGCTGGCTCAGTCTTTGCCCCTCATAGACATCCCCTCCCCCACACCCATGCCCAGCCAGTCATTAGGCTTTACTTGATAAATCCTCTGCAGGGCCCCAACAGGGTCATCTCCTAACAGTTTCTGAGAATTGTGACTGCTGCTCCCCCACCAGGAGAAAGTTAAGAGGGTCTGGAGGAGTGTTGTGGTAGAGGTGGGGTCTGTCCTTGTGGAGGCAACTTGTTTGATTAGGAGAGGAGAAGGGACTCAGGGAAGCCTCCCACCAGGCTAGCCACTGACTTCCCTATCTCTCAACCTACCCCTAACTCCCTCTGCCCCAAACCCAGACCTTGGCAAAGCTGAGCTGAGCAGATGGGAGAAGGGAGCACAGGAGACACAAACCCAGGGCCATCTGGGGCGCCTGAGTTGATGGTGGGTCCCTGGATTCCCACCAGCCTGAATGGGGGCTGCTGGTCTCTCTTCTCCCCAAGTGTGAGTTTATCTATAGAGGTGGGCAGGCTTTGGGGGTGAGGTCCAGTCTGTTTTGTTATGCACACTAATGGGGGAGGAGCCGCGTGAATGAATAATTCAGACCAGTGGAAAATCCAAAAGTCAAGTGGTGCCCTTCTGATGCAAGTGTGGAACCTGATTTCCCTGGGTGGATTTGTGGCTGTAATTGACTGGCTGAGTCTGTCACAGAATGTCACTGGAGTGTCTGTATTTCTCATCCCCTCCCCCATCTGCCTGAGAGATGGTACTGTGGCCCTCATCTTGGGCATCCCCTCCTAATCACTTGAAGGAGTGAGGTTAGGAAGGGCGGGGTCACTCTGATAAAAGTCTGAAAGCCATCTGGGGAGTACCAGGCATGGAGGGGAGGCCCACGGATGGATTTCAGGGGGTATCCTGGTGGCTGAGTAGCAATTTGGGGCAGCAGCACCCACCAGGGATCCCACCCCCAGGTCCTCAGGAACTACAGTGGGTTTACACCTTCTTCCTGGGGAGGGTTCAACTCATCTCTTGTCCTGTTGTGGGCAGGATGACCCCAACCTTAGGTCACTTGGTTAAGAACCTGGATCTTCTCACTCCCCACCAGCAGGGGCATGAACCCCACCCCAAGGTGACAGCTTTGACCTCTGCCTAAGGTTGCCCAGGGCAAACAAAAGACCTGACTGAACTCACAGGTCTGGTCATGGGTGTTGCAGAGTGGGGCTCCATCTGACCCCCTACCTTTGGGACCAGAGCTGAGTTCTGTCCTTAGTGTATGTCTAAGAAAATAACATACATTGCTGAGGGGGACCTACCACCCTAGGGATCCCCCAGTATTGATTGGAGAAGCCCCAGGTCTGGTCATGTGGCCCTAGGGGACCTCTTCCTGTTACTTCAGCTTGGTCTTTCTGTCCCTGTCGGGGGGAATAGGGTCCCAAAACCACAAACTTCTCCTCTCCTGGCCATGGGACTTCTCTTATGGGTTTGGAGTGGCACCACGAAGGCCGCCAGCCAGGCAGGAGGTGCAGGGAGCCCTTTCCTCATGCAAGTTTAGATGGTGGGGTACTACCTTCCCAAGAAGGCAGTGAGAGAAAGAGGTGCCCCGCTTTCAGTGGGAGTGGGGAGGAAGAGAAGGTTGAGCTAGGGTTTCCGGCTGCTGCCTTAGCAACCGTGGAGGAGTAGTGGCTGCCCAGCTCCTTGGGCCTGCTGTGATGGTGGGAACGCCAGCCAGCCAGGCTCCGAGCTCACGCCTCTCCTACGCTGTGCCCAAGGCTGGGTGTCTTCCAGTGCCTTTGTGCCTTCCCTGGGAGGCATTTGGGGTGAGGGTTTCGGATGGCCTGCCAGGAATGCCATGTGTACAGCTGTGCATCCGGCACCCCTGATCTGGCCAGGCAGAAAGGAGCTTGTGGCCTTGGGACACAGGGATAGGGGAGGTGCCAGGAGAGATCCCTGGATATCTTGAATGCTGACATTCACGAGGGGACTGTGCCATTTGGAGAGGAATTTGCCTGGGGAGAGTCTAGCCCCTGGGATGCCCTTTTGCCCAGGAACTGGGCACTTGGCCAGGTAGTGTGGGGTGGTCAGGACAGCTCCAAGCAGGAGGTGGGCCTGCCTGTAGCTGGGACCCTTCCTCTTTGGGGCTGGTTGTAGAAGGGGGTGTGTCTCCATTCCATGGGCCTGTGACCAAATTGTGCCTCCAGGCCTGCTCCTCTTTTGCCTTTGAGAGTGAGGCAGATAAAGTTTGGAGTGTATAGCTGGGGGTGTCCCTCAGGTTCTGTGTCTCCCATCGATGATCGCACTGTCGTCCTGTGGTCAGATGGTAGGCTGGGCAGAGGCTGTGGGTGACATTCCCAGCAGGCAGGGCTGGCACATATTGACCTGGAAACAGGGATTGTAGTGGCCATGATTCGCAGTGGTATCTGGGACTGGTTGACAGAGCTGGGCAAGATGGACAGGAGCAGGTGGGGTTGCTCTGGGGTCACCTCTGCATTTTTCATGGGAATGCAGAGTTCTAGAAGGTGGCTTGGGCCTCCCTGCCTTTGAGGGGACATGGGTTACTCAGGAGAAAGGTGGGGGAAAGTCTTTGGATTTGGGGGTCATGAAGTCTGGACACTGAGTTTTATTTTTACTACTTACTGTCTGTGTGACCTTGGGCAAGTTACTTAACCTCTCTGAGCTTCAGTTTTCCTCTATACTACAGAAACAGCTAGTTTTCCTTACATGTAAGTCACAGAATTATTATAAAGATATATGCTAGCCTCCTAGGCTTATTGAGGGGATTAAATAGAGTGCTTAGCACAATGCCTGGTATGGAGCAAGTGTCAATAAGTGATTTCCACTGTGAGCAAAAGAAAGTGATCTGGTCCTCTCCATCTTGGGGCCCTTCTCTCTCCTTCCCAAGAACACTCCAGGTGGCCATGGAGCCACCCCAAGAAGCCCCCAGGGTTGCAGCCATCACAGGCCAGGCAGCCTCCCTGCCATTACACAGGTCAGCAACAGTGAGGCCTAGACTATACAGTGCCTGGTGGCCGGAAACCACGAGAGAGGAGGGGCCCAGCTCTCCTGGAGGGTGGGGCAGTGGTGCTAACGGCACCTAGCAGTGTGCACATGAGGAGGAGTGAGGCCTCCACTTCCCCACAGAGGGTGTGCTGGGGGGGGTTCCCCAGTGAGTAAGAGCTTAGTGTGGGCAACAACAGGAAGTGGAGGGTGCTGGGTGGCAGGAAGAGGCTCTGGCTGTTCCTAGTTCCTCAGATGGGGGTACTGGGGCCAGGCTGTCTGCAGAAGACCCCTGTGGGGCCAGACTTCAGTGCTCTTTCTTCTAAGGAAACCAGTCTTCTTAGCTAACTCGCCCATCTAGGTCTCCTTAACCCCTCCGTGCCTCAGTTTCCCATTTGTGAAATGGGAGTGATACTAGTATCTGCTTCAAAGGTTCGTTGTTGAGGTTAACAGATGTAGAGTACTTGGGACGGCACTGGTCCAGAGGAAGTGTTTTGAGAGTATTTGTTATTATTGATACTATTCTCCTACCAACCTGGATTAAATGAGAAGACTTGCTGTTCTGGCTCTCACCCTCCTTGTCCTTGTCCCTGCTGTAGGGTCCCTGGAGCTGAGATGGTAGAAGCTGTTAGTTTTGGGAGTTCTCAGCACCTGATGCAGGGCAGGTCATCACGCTTCCTCTAAACCTGGGATTGCTTGTAAGAGCTCTAGAAAGTCTGTATCTGGGGATTTTAAGAAGTGGATGCAATTGATTGTTTCTGCAGATGTGCTGAACGCTTGAAAGGCAAGGTTGATGCCACACAGAGGCTAGAGGGGGTGGGTGAAGATGGGGAGGTCCCAGCTTCTGACCTGACATTGGGATTAGGATCCATATTCAAGGGCATCCTTGGGCTTGAGGGGCGGGGCTGTGGGGAGAGGGTGGGCTATTGGTTTGGGGTCTAAACTGTGCTCAAATTGAAAGTGAAACTCGAGGGTGTGGCTGTGTCCAGATGTGGACAGAGCCCTCAGTCTCCTGGGACAGCGCTGCAGAAGTCAACACAGATGGGTGGTGCTGAGGGCAGGGACTTAAATATGAGGCTGCAGGGGCTGGGCTGGAGGGACTGGAGGCCAGGGTCCCTCTGACACCCTGGAGGTAGGGATAGGGAGGGAGGACGATGATGGCCATACACTCTAATAGGAAGAGGTAGAGAGTTAGCTCCTTTCCTTGGCCACACCCCAAAAGATGAATCCCATCTCCCTCCTCCTCTGACCCAAAACACTAAGGAAAGGGGCCGAAGGGTCAGTCCATGTTTGGCCAAGCCTGTTTTATTTGGATGTTTTCACAAACTTCTGCTCACCCTACCATCCCCATCTTGGGATCTTCTGTGGACTCCCCTGCCCCCACTGACCCCTGTGACCCCACAGCTGTGAGATGCTGTGCTGGGTCACTGAAGAACATTATGTCATCAAACTCCAGCTTCTCATGAGAGTTCCTAGTTGCTCTGTGATGGGACAGGTGGCAGTGTGCCCATTTTGTGGAGGAGGAAGCTGAGGCTCAAGAAGGTGGGAAGCTGTAGGTCTGGGTGTGCCCAGAGTGTGAGTGTTTTGAATGTAGCTCTGGTCCCTCCACGACACAGCTTCCCCTCCCCGCATCCTTCTTTCAGGAGGCAGGCATACCCTCACTCACATATCTGGACTGCCTGTCCCTTCCAGTCCCATTTGAGCAATGTCAGCCAGTCTTCTGTTTGGCTCCCATCTCCCATCCTATGGGGCTGTCTCCTTGCTGAGGGCCCTGGTCTAGGGCTTTGTTCCTGTTTTCAGAGTGGCCTCACCTCACCCTAAGTGAGTGGCATTTTCTGGCCTTCTCCCACTCCCTGGGTGCCCGTCTCCGGTGGGCACAGCCATAGCCCGAGAGCAGCTGCTAATTAGTGCTCCGTGCTGTCAGAGCTATTTCTGATTTCGGAGCCTAAAATTAGCACGTCTGGCAGGCTGGCACGTGGGCCTGGGGCCTGAGGAGGCCCAGATGGGGAAGGGGCAAGGGGCACCCTATCCTCTACTACTGTTGGAAGAGGTGCACAAGGCCACTGCAGAGACCTCCCCTTGCCAGCACTATCCCTGGGACTTTCCCGGGGGTGTGGACAAGGGCTGTGTCTCAAAACCACCCAGCTCTCCTCTTATTGGCTTCATCTGTGTAACCTTGCATTGATCACTAAAGTGATCTGTGCTTGTACCTGTAAGATGGCATGATAAGGGTGCCAACAATGGCAGTGAATATGGAAGGTGTCAGCAGTATGCAGAGCTCTGAGCAGTGCTTGGCACTGGCACATTCAGGAGAGGCAAGCTTTTGGGTCATGATTATGATTAGAGGTGCCATTGGGCCATTCCAGACCCAGGCAGGTTTCTAGGGTGGGTGAGGGCCCAGAAAGTTCCATGTCAGGAGGTGCTTGTCCCCTCTAAGGCTGAGCTGCTGGGGCTCAGAGTCCCCCTCAAGCCCTTCTCTATTCTGGCTCTGGCTGAGTGTCCTGCTGTTGCCTGGTATCTGCTTCCTCCTTTCCCCAGCCTTGACACACCTCAGTCCTCATGTCCTTTGTTGCTATAGCGTGGTGATGGATCAGAGAGACAAGAGAGGGAAAAATGGCTTTGTAGGACCCTTGGCAGTATAGCCCCCAGTCCTCAGCTTGAAGGCTCCTTCCTGGGGAATGGTCCCCTCCTGCAGTAGGACCTGGCCTGGCCTCAGGCAGCTGGGGAGGGTGGTTGATGAGCACGGTGGTTTCCTCAGTCCAGGCTCACTTTCGCAATGGGGTACAGGGACGACGTACCCCACCCCCAGCTGGCTCGGGAGTCTGGTGAGTGGGCAGTTTCACCTCTCAACCAGGGCTCCAGTCAGAAAGCTTAGGCAGTGGGGCCCCAAACACCCAGCTTCCTGTTATGTGAGGCTGACTCAAGGCAGTGATTTTGGGGTGAAGTCTGGCCAGAGCCCCAGACCTAGACCTAGCACCCCAGAGAGGAAGCTGGCTCAGGAGCCTCAGGCGGGTACCACTCCCGCTCTGCTCCAGCAGTGGCCTTGCCTCAGGGCCACGTGACGGAGGGTGTGTCTTGACCACCAGAGCTGGTGACAAGAGCCTCCCCAAGGCTGGGCTCGGATTCTCCGGGGGCTCCCACATCTCCAGTGAGAACTCTGTGAAGGCAGCAGCTGTCTTTTAGGGCCTGACACATAGTTAGAACTTCAGTGAACCCTAGGTTTACTAAATTGAGATGAACTGGCCTTGTCTTCTGAGCCTGTTGGGGAGATTTGCTCAGTACTGGAGTCTAGGGAGCCCCTACTTCTAATAGCGCCTGACTGGTTCCACAGCCCTGAGCTGGGCTGTATATCTGTTCTGTGGTGACAGGGACACTGTGGCCAGGGAAGGACTGAGGCTGTGGGGTCACCAGCATGCTTGATGTGTTTTGGCCTTTTGTCCCTAAAGTCCTCCCCACTCCCCAACCCTGGCCTCTGTGGCAGTGATACACTTGCCTGGAGCTCCCTGCCTGGTTGACATGCTGCTCTCTGTCCCCTTGGCCTGTCTCCATCTCTCTCCTCCTTGAAGGGATTTGGGGGAGGCACTGGAGATGGATGTGGATGGATGCTGCTTCTGTCTTTGCTGGTATTTGAGGCATTGGTGCCCTGGGCCAGGTCTGTGCACAGATGGTGTCTGGTGCCATGTGGGAATGAGGCAATGTCCACTGACCATACCTGGCTAGAGATGACTTTCTGGTTATATTCCTACCTGGATGGGGGAAAAGATGATGCCCCCCCCTTATCACAGATTGGAAAACTGGAGCCCAGAGGTACCCAGCGAATGCCCGTACCTGTCAGGGAGGCAGTATGTAGGGTAGTAGAACACAGTCAGACTTGGATTCAAATCCTGGGTCTAGGAGAGCTTGGCATGGCTGAGCATGCCTACGATCCCAGCACTGGGGAGGTTGAGATAGGAGGATCGCTGGTTTGAGACCAGCCTGGGCTACATAGTGAGTTTCAGGCTTTCCTGTGCTATACACACTGAAACCCTGCCTCAAAAAAAAGAAAAAAAAAATCTGGGTCCTTTTCAAGCTATTGTGCCGTGGAGAAAGGGCTCCATCTCTCTGGGCTTCAGTTTTCTCATTGGATAACATACTTATCTCCTGGGCTGAGAGGATGACATACTTTTGAGAGAGCTTAGTGGGAAAATGCCTGTTCTCCCATGTTAGGACGCCAGGCTCAGGGAGTTTTCCTTTGTCCTCCCCCTCCCCAGAACTGCATGAACTTGCCCCCAGACAAGGTCCAGCTGCTGAGCCAGTATGACAATGAGAAGAAGTGGGAGCTCATCTGTGACCAGGTGGGTGCTGGGACGGGCTCAGCTGCCATTGCTTCTGCCATTTGGGCACCTTGCCCTGAACAGGCTAGTGCTGGCAGGAGGGGGAGCCCATGGGCTGAGATCCTGTCTAGAGGCTGGGGTAGTATCTGGGGAGGTGCTGGGGGCTCCTGTGGGACTCTGCATACCTTCCTCCCTTGGACAGAGGTCTCCCCCAGAAATCTCGTAAGTTGTGAGCAGAGCTGGGTCTGTCCTGAAGAGCTGGCAGGGGCAGAGTCTCTCTTGACTTTCTTACTCTAGTTTGGGGAAGAAGGGCAGTCCTGGATCGGACATCTTCATTAGCCTACTGAGTGGGGAGAGGAAGGGGAAGGCACCCCTGTCCTTTTCCTGTGGGGTCAGAGGAGATGCAGCCAAGCAGTGGCCCTTAAGGCCAGTCAGTATAGACTTCTGCCTTTGGATCTCAGTTCAGGCCCTGGGCTCTCTGCTTTGCAACTCCTGCCTTTCCAGTTTTTTGGGACCAGGAGGACAGACCCTGTCCTAATTTAGGGGTTCAGGGGGCAAAGTGGAGCCTGGCTGGTGCCAGATTCAGCAAGGGAAGAGGTGGAGGCTGCTTCAGGCTGAGGAGTGGAGTCTGGGGGTAGGTAGTTGGGAGCCAGAGCATTCCCTGGGGTCTGGTGAAGCCTCCTGCTAATGGAATGGAATGGGATGTTCTGGCTGGGCATCTGTCCAGGGTAAGGCTGGGCTGAAGGCAGAGGTGGGGAGTGCCTCAGAGACTCTGTACTAGGAGGATGGGCGCTCTTGTGAGTAGGAAGCCTCTGTCTTGGTCCCTGTTTCTGTGTGAGGGTCTGCTAGAGGTGGGGTTGGGCTGGGGGAGTTAGGAGTTGCTTTGTGGAACACAAAAGAATATGTGCACACAGGCTTCTACCAACACGGGTGAACAGGATAGCTGGGGTGCAGTCCTGGGTATGGGGTCCTCAGCCTGCCAGGGAGCTGGCACTCCCTGCCTTAGTCCAGGAGGGGCAGAATAGGGAGGATGCCACCTACTGGCCTGACTGAGTCTCCCAGGGCAGGACTGGTGGCAGGATTGGCTCTCTGCATTCCACCTGAGGCAGTGCTAGACCCGAGGAGGCCGCAGTGGAAGGGCAAGGGAGGCCTGAGACTGATGCGTTTAGGTTTGTACCTTTGGTTATTTCAGAGCATCTTAAGACAGCCTGAAACCCTAGGTCAGAGCTGAGAAGGGGACATTGGAAGGGGAGCTGGTCAATGGTCCTGGGGTAGCTCTGGCTGGCTGGCTGTACACCTATTCATCTCCCCAGGAGCGGTTTCAAGTCAAGAATCCCCCAGCAGCCTACATCCAGAAGCTGAAGAGCTACCTGGATACTGGTGGGGTCAGCAGAAAGGTAGCAGCTGATTGGATGTCCAACCTGGGGGTATATGTCTCCCCTTTTATTCTGTCTCTTTCCCTTGTTCCTTCTAAGCCCTGGGCAGCTGGAGGAACATGGGCTTGTGAGAGTGCATGCATGTGTAAGTGTGTGAGTGTGTGTGTAAGTGTGTATTTATCAGGGACTGAGAGTGCCCTGGGTGAACACTTTCACAGTTTATTTGTCCTGTTATGTGCTTACATGCATATACTTGTGTGTACTTGCAGTATGTGCACCTTTCACGTCCACACATAGATGTGCGGGTTTGTGTGTTCTGTGTCTATTTATGGATGTGTATATGTGCTTATGTATACCCAAGTCCATGTATTGGAGAGACAGAGCAAGACAGAATGAGAGAGAAGCCCATGTGCCCATGTACGGGTGTCCTGTATCTGTGCATCCAGGGTGCTGTGCGTGGCTGTGTGTGTTCATGTTTGAATGTATGTGTGTCCTGTGTGTCCGTGTGTACACCATAATGTTGATACGAGGGTATATGCGTGTGTATATGTACCTGTGTGCACCCTGTGTGTCTGCGCATGGGGCCTGTGAGTGTTCATTCTGCTGGGCAGATGTGTGGAGGTGGTGAGGTAGGCCAAGCATGGAAGGCCTTGCATGCGAGTTGGGGGTGGGTACTATTGGCTGTTGCCTCGGGATGTGGGTGGGAGGCTGAGCTCCACCCACCAGACTCCTTGTTCTTGGCCCCCAGTTTAAGAGGCGAGTCCAGGAGTCCACACAGGTGCTGCGGGAGCTGGAGACTTCTCTGAGGACAAACCATATTGGGTAAGCCAGAGCTCAGGTCTATCTCCCCTCTGGAACTAGGAAAATTGCCTCCCAGCAGCCTCTGTGTCTTTACCTTCCAGCTCCCCTGGTCCCAGCACAGGGCTGTGCCTGTGGACGACTGCCAGGTGGAGGTCTGGCAGCTTCCCCATTTTGTTCCTTCCCAGCCTCAGGCCCACTCCTCAGAGCATGGCTGGGCCATGGGTTCTGCCCAAGCACCCAGTTTTCTCTAGCACCACTGGATCTCTTGGTGATGGGGTGTGGTGGTATCTTCTGGGGCAAGGGCACCTAAGGGCCCTTGCTGTGCCTGTTTGGTGCCCATTTCTCAGCTGGAACTCAGGGATTCCTGTACCCTGCAGGTGGGTGCAGGAGTTCCTCAACGAGGAGAACTGTGGCCTGGATGTGCTCCTTGAGTACCTGGCTTTTGCCCAGTGCTCTGTCACGTAAGCCCCCTGCCTGTGGCCCTCATGCTGCTTCCCAAAGCCTCAATCCAAGCATCCCTGAGCTCTGCCCACTTCTGACAGTTCCACACAGCCTGACCTGAGCCCACCTGGGAACCCTGCACTTGGCCCCTAGAGAGCCCCTTCCTGAGGCCTGTCCTGGTCAGGGAAGGGCATTGCCTTTCCCCCTCACTGTGCTCAGCATGGAGCCAATAACATAGCCTCTCCTTCCCACCCCAGTCTTTCCTGCAGATCTGTCTCACCCTGCAGTTCTCTCCACCCCCTCCTTAAGTGTCCCCTGCAGTGTTGGCCTCCAGGCTCCTTGCATCGCATCTCCAGGTACAACATGGAGAGCACAGACAATGGCGCCTCCAGTGCAGAGAAGAGCAAGCCCTTGGAGCAGTCGGTGGAAGATCTCAGCAAGGGGCCGGCCTCATCTGTACCCAAAAATCGCCACCTGACCATCAAGTATGTAGCCCCTAAGATTGGGTGATGGGAGAATGGAGAACCGGGTTCTCCCACCCAGGGTTCTGGGGGTTGGTGGGAGGAGTAACCAGGCATGGGGCATCAAAGTCAGGGTTTCAGATAGGGCTCAGGATGCCAATATGTTAAGAAGTCTTCAGGTGGGGACACCTAGAGGCTGGAATCTCTGTGGGTCTGGGATAAGGAGGGGGTTTCTGGGCTGGTGGGATCCCTCTTGTGCCTGTCTAATCCCTTGTTTTTTCCCATGCGGCCTCCAGGTGCCCCCCTTCTCCCCGGTACGTAGCCACCTGGGGATGGTGGTGGGTTGGGTGAAGCACTCATCTGACATCCTGGGGCTCAGCTACTGTGACTAGGACTCCTTACCCTAACACAGAGCCTCCTGCAAAAGACAGGGAGGGGAAATGACCCTGGAGCATTATGCAGACCCATCTTCCAACTTTGGGTCTGGGGACCGACTGCATATTCTGCCCCAAATGCTCACAGTGTTTCTTTGTTTATTCTTTTTTTCTTTTGGTCTTTTTTTCTCATTCATCCTTTCAGCAAACCTTTTCTTTTAGCACTTACTATGTATTACCTATCTGACAATTACCCACAAGACAGATCATCCTGCCTTTGGGGGTTCACAGGCTATGGACGGGGGGTGGATTCAGTGTGACAGAGAAGTGACTGGATGCTCAGAGAGGGAGGTGACCACTGCCTGGGACATCAGGAAGGCTTCCCAGAAGAGGAGAGACTGGAACTATGTCTTACAGCTGGATGGCAGTCTTGCAGGCAGCAGTGGGACGAGGAAGGGTATTGCAGCAAGAAGGAACAAGATGAACAGAGACTGAGGCATACTTGAGCAATGACAGAAAAGGGCAACGTGCAGACAAAGTGGGAGACTTGGTGGGTGGAGGTGGGGGGTCTTGCAGTGTTGCTGGGAATGAAACGGAATCACCAAGGGACTGATGTGTGACAGTCACGGCAGTTCTGCAAAAATGAAAACATCACACTTCCCCCCGCCCCCCAAGAATAATTGAGCATGCTCAGATGGCACTTAGTAGGTGCCAGGCGTTGTTCTGAGCTCATTTCATAGTTCCAACAGCCCTCTTAAGAAGGCACTATTAAGCCAGGCGCTGGTGGCTCACGCCTGTAATCCTAGCTACTCAGGAGGCAGAGATCAGGGGGAATCTTGGTTTGAAGCCAGCCTGGGCAAATAGCTCATGAGACCCTATCTGAAAAAAACCCTTCACAAAAGTAGGGCTGGTGGAGTGGCTCAAGGTGAAGGCCCTGAGTTCAAGGCCCAATACCACACACACACACACACACACACACACACACACCACACACACACACACACACCACACACACACACACACACACACACACACCACACACACCCACACACACCACACACACACACACACACACACCACACCCACACACACACACCACACACCCACACACACACACACACACCCCACACACACACACCACACACCCCCCCACACAACCCACACACACACACACACACCACACCACACACACACACACACACACCACACACACACACCACACACACACACACACACACCACACACACACACAACACCACACCACACACCACACACACACACACACACACACACACACCACACACACACACAACCACACACACACACCACACACACACACACACACACCACACACCACACACACACACACACACACACACACACACCACACCACACACACACACCACACACACACCACACACACACACACACCACACACACACACCACACACACACACACACACCACACACACACCACACACACACACACACACACACACCACACACACCACACACACAACACACACCACACACACACACACACACCACACACACCACACACACACACACACCACACACACACACACACCACACACACACCACACACACACACACACCACACACACACACCACACACACACACACACACCACACACACACCACACACACACACACACCACACACACACACACACACACACACACACACACACACCACACACACACACACACACACACCACACACACACACACACACACACAGAAGGCACTGTTATTGCCATTCCTTTTATAAATGATGAAAGTGAGACACATGGAGATTCAGTAACTTTCCTAATAAGTGGTAAGCTGGAATGTTCTGGAACCACAGGAGTCTACATTCACAATCTGCCTCTCAAGATGGAAGATGAGCCTGAGTGACCGTGAGCGCCACCTTGTGGGGAGCCTTCCCATGACTGTTTCCCAGCCTTGGGTGTCTTTTCCCTTTGTCAGCTCTCCACTCCCCACAATAGAGCATCCCTTTTTAATGCTAAGGTGCTGTTAGGGCCTTGTCTCCTTCCCCCATGCCCCGCAATGCCTGAAGACTGAGGAAGCCTGCCTGCCCTCAGTTGGCTTCTTGGATGGGGTAGACAGGAAGCAGTTGACCTAAGGTTCTAGATGTGTCCCCTCTCACTCCAGGGGCCATCTCACGTGTGGGGGGAGCTTGAGGCTCTGACCCCTGCTGTCTCCCCCTAGGCTGACCCCCGCCCACAGCAGGAAGACCCTGCGGAATTCCCGAATCGTCAGCCAGAAGGACGACGTCCACGTCTGTATCATGTGTCTACGTGCCATCATGAACTACCAGGTCAGCTGGTGGTGTGGGCTTGGGGCACTGGGGATCTGGCCTGTTTGCACTGGGGACTGCACAAGCTGTTGAGGTTCTGAGATTTAAGGCCCTCAACCCTGTCCCCCATGAGGAACTGGGAGGACTTGGGCTGTTGGCACAGGGTCTTAAGGCTGATGAGTGTTGAGGGGAAGTCCATATTTTTGCCTTCTCCCTGTCAGGTAGGTCCCTTTGAGTGCCCCTTGACATGGCTTGGGGCACATATGTGCTTCAGATGAGAGCCAAGCAAGACTGGACAGTCAGGTCCCTGGAGAGAGCAGGCCGTTTGGAGGTCCATTTGGTGAAGTTCATCTCGCTTGCTTTGCCAGGCCTCATGGGACTCCCTCAGGAAGCCTGATACTGGCTTCTGAAAAGACTAAGGAATTTAAGAGGGACAGTGTTAGGGTTTGGCTCAGGCAGAAGAGGTTACAGTTGCATGTAGAGAAGACCTTCCTAAGCTTGAGAGTATTAGAGAGCAGATGGCATGTCCCTGATCATACTGGAGGTGCTGGCAGTGGGGGCCTGCCTGGAAAGACTGACTTCTCCTCTCTCCTCAGTCTGGCTTCAGCCTCGTTATGAACCACCCAGCCTGTGTCAATGAGATTGCTCTGAGCCTCAACAACAAGAACCCCAGGTGAGGTCACACCTCTCACCTGTCTCGCCTACTCTGTCCCCCAGTTCTTAGGATTGCTCCCCAGGCTCATCCCAGACCACCCTCAGTGCTCCTGTCCTCCTGTAGCTGGGCCCATGCCCAGACTTACTGTGGGCACTGCCTGTTCCTCTCTCTCCTCAGAACCAAAGCCCTGGTGCTAGAGCTGCTGGCAGCCGTGTGCCTGGTACGAGGAGGACACGATATCATCCTTGCGGCCTTTGACAACTTCAAGGAGGTACTGGAGTCCCCGTCCAAACACCCACTTGCCACTCTAGTGTTGCTTGGAGTCTTGTTGCTGGCGGTTGTAACCTCTGATGGGTCATCTGGGGAAGCCAGAGGATAATCTGGGATGGGAAAGTTCTAAAAGGAAGGTGCAGAGTCAGGTAAGGGCGACAGGGACAACTACAGGGATCTGCTGAGCTTCTGATCAGCTTTACCAGGTCCAAACTGCACTTAATCCAGACACCCTGGGTTGCTGACTGTGGTGAACAGGTTGGCAAGGAGTGGATGCATAAATGTGCACACGTTCATTCATTCCTTTACTGGATATTTACTGAGGGCCTATCAGGCAAGGGTGGACCCTTGGCATATATCAGTGAGTAAAAGAAACAAAAAGGCAGGGGAAGAGATAATAAGAAAGTAAATGACATAGTGTGTTAGAAAACCAAAAGTCAGTGTTGTTGCAGGGGGAGGGTGTTGTAGGGGGAGAGGGAACAGCTGCAAGGTGGTCTCTCAATGAGGGAAGGCCTCGTTGAGAATTAAGATTTGAGTGAGGCTGTGAGGGAGGTGAGGGATTTGGCATGGTGGCTGTCTTGTGTGAGAGCACACCAGGCAGTTGGGGAACAGCAAGTGCAAAGGCCCTAAATTGGAAGTGTAGAGTAAGTGTGGGAGGAAAATGAGAGGGAGCAGAGTTTGGAGCAGAGGAATGACACAGCCTGACTTAGATATAACTGGAGAGGAGCCTGTAGAGGCACAAAGGGGACAGTCAAAAGGTGGCTCAGGAGGCGTGTCACTGGGTCCTGAGTGAATGCCATTCCTTCAACTTAGGTTTGTGGGGAGCAGCACCGCTTTGAAAAGCTGATGGAATATTTCCGGAATGAGGACAGTAACATTGACTTCATGGTGAGCTTGGGAGCCCAGGGGGCTGAGGCCTGAGCCAGGTCCTATTGGGTACAAGGGGCAGCTGGGGTTCTGGGTGGCTGAGCTCTGCCCCAGCAAACTGTGAGGACTGAATGGCCATTGGGGGAAGGGTGGGTGTTGGGGGACAGAGGCTGGACTGAGGGATATGGAAGTAACAAAACTGGGTTAGTAGAGTAGAAAGAGATAAAACTGAGTTTGTAGAACTGTGTAGATGGAAGGAGACTTGGGAATAAATGGTAGGGAGAAGACACTCAGCACCCTCATCCTAGAGGATATAGACTTGCTGGTGTGCTTGACCCACAGGTGGCCTGCATGCAATTCATCAACATTGTGGTACACTCAGTGGAGAACATGAACTTCCGTGTCTTTTTGCAATATGAGTTCACTCACCTGGGTCTGGACCTGTACTTGGAGGTGAGCCCTGCACCCCTCCCCTCTGCCCCCTGACTTAATCACCTGCCCACTGGCAGAGTATGTCCAAGTGCTTAGCACACCTGCCTCTGAGACCTGGGTATGGTGGGACATGCCTGTAATGCTAGCACTGAGGCAGAAGCAGGAAGATGCCAAGTTCAAGGCCAGTCTGGGCTACATAGATCTTGTTTTAAAAACAAAACAAAAAAAACCAAAAAAACTTCCTGGTTTTGCCACTTCCTAACCATGTGTCCTTGGATAGGTCTGTTCCTCTTCCCGAGTCCCACCTATCAAACAAGAGAATCCTAGAGGTAATAATGACTCTAAATTCTAGAGTAGCCCTGGTGTATGACAGGCACCAAGTCCAGCAGCTGTTGTCGCAGCCATTGGAAGTCCTAGTTGGCCCTGGGTCTGGCCTTGGGAGTGCTAGCTCAGTCAGGTGCCCTGACTCTAGCATATACTGGGGAGTGCACAGATACCGGGTAGAGGTGGGAGCTGGCTCAGGTGGGAGCTTGCTCTGGATGGAGGTCTAGTACTGGGAAGGTGGGCAGAAGGGCTTGGGGCTTCCTGGTCTGGCGTGAGCAGAGAAGCCATGGCTTCTGCCCTGCTTCCTTTGGGAGGTTTTCTGGAGTTGCAGGACCTTTGGGATTGGATTTTTGAAAGCCAAGATTGACAAAAGGTGAAGAGTAGGCTGAGATGCTATACCCATACAGTAAAATAGATTCAGCTAGAACAAGGGAAGTACTGACACATCCCACAGCATGGATGAGCCTTGAAAACTTCACAGTAAGTGGAAGAATCCAGACACAAAAGGCTATGTGTTATATGATTTCTTTATATGACATGTCCAGAATGGATGAATCCATAGGGACAGAAAGCAGATTAGTGGTTGCCAGGGGCCATGGAGGAGAGAATGGAGTGACTGCTAATGGGTACAGAGTTTCTTTTTGGGGCAATGAAGATATGTTCCAAAGGTTGGGTGTGGTGGTTCATGCCTGTAATTACAGCTGCTTGGGAGGATCTCAGTTCAAGACCAGCCCCCAGCAGAAGCATGAGACTGTATCTGAAAAATATATAAAAAAAAAAAAGGGCAGGGGCAAGACTCAAGTCGCAAGTCGTTAGAGTGCCTGTCTAGCAAGCTTGAGGTCCAGAGTTCAAACCCCAGTACTGCCAAAAAAATAAATAAAATTCTGGAATTAATGGTGATGGTAATACAGCCTTATAAATGTTCTAAAAACGAATTGTATACTTAAAAAGTTGATTTTTACAGTCTGTAAATTATATCTCAATAAAAAAGAAAAAAGGCAGGAGACTCTGGATCCTAGTTAGAGGTGGTGGTTGGAAAGACCACCTCACCCAAGTTCTCATCTTACTCCTTCCATCTGGGGACAGAGGCTTCGGCTCACAGAGAGTGACAAGCTACAGGTGCAGATCCAGGCGTATCTGGACAACGTGTTTGATGTTGGAGCGCTGTTGGAAGACACAGAGACCAAAAATGCCTTGCTGGAGCACATGGAGGAGCTGCAGGAGCAGGTGGCGCTGGTGAGAGCTGGTCCTGAACCCAGCCCAGCAATAGTAGGCCCACAGGACGTGTCTGTCACAGGGCTCCATGTGGGGCATCAGGCACTAAACGGCAGATACTGTTCTGGGTGTGAATTAGAGGTAGCCATCTGCCTGGCCCCTGAGTTTGACCTGAATCCAAATCCCTAGTTCTTCGGTGTCTTTCTCAATGAGGATTCAGCGAGCTCCCACATTGCGTGGGACTTAGGCGGAAGGCAGGCGCCTCCGTCACGGATGCTCAGATCCCAATCCCTGACTAGGGCCAACTGGGTTGTGGAGCCCCTCACAGCTCAGTTTCCTCCTCCCCCCCTTCCTTCCTCATCAGTGGTGCCTTACTATCCTTTCCTCATTTACTTGGGCGCAAGTGCCAGGCTCTGCCCACCCTTGGCACGTTGGGCAAAGCGGATGTGGGAGCCTCCCCCAGTCCTCCAGGCAGCCTGCCTGATGCCGCCCCCTCACCGGCGGTGCCAGTGCCTGGCCGCGGGTGGTAGCTCACCATGTACCGGTGCCACAGCTGACAGATCGACTTCGGGACGCGGAGAACGAATCCATGGCCAAGATCGCTGAACTGGAAAAGCAGCTAAGTCTGGCCCGAAAGGAATTGGAGACCCTGCGGGTGAGGCTGGGGGCGTGGGCTTGGTTGGGGAGTGTAGGGCTCCTAAAAACAGGTCAGCTGGGGCTTTTACTTGACATCTTCCTCCACCCCGGCAAGAAGCTAGAGGTCCTCTGTGCCAGGGAACTTGCCGGTAGGCACTTAACCCTTCCCTGGGGCTCGTAGGAGCGCTTCAGTGATTCGACTCCCATGGGCGCCTCCAGACGTCCCTCCGAGCCTGAGAAAGTGCCTGCGGCCGCCCCAGCGCGGCCCTCGGCCCTAGAGCTGAAGGTGGAGGAGCTGGAGGAGAAGGGGTTAATCCGTGTCCTGAGGGGGCCCGGGGATACCGTCTCCATCGAGATCGTCCCAGGCGCTGTGGCAACCCCGAGCGGTGGGGATGTTCCAACTCCAAAGGCATCCATGGACTCCTTCAGCCCAGGTGTGCAGGAGCATCAAGCTGGGGGAGGGAGATCAGGGCCTGGAAGGGGATCCTGGGGGCATATCTGGTCGGGAGATTTGGATTGTGTGCGAGGCGAGGCTCATGTGGGAGCAGGTGGGTTGAAATGGGCCGTGTACGCTTGCGTAGGGCAGGGAGGCGGAGACAAGACCACTTAAGTCAAGAGTCTGATAAATCCCTCCCCCGCCCTGCCCTTGCTGGGCTCAGATCTCCCACTTGAAGTAGAGTCGGTTCCGGGAGCAGCCCCGCCCCCGCCACCCCCGTTGCCTGGCCTCCAGTCCCAGCAAGAAGCTCCGCCCTCGGCGCCCCCTCTGGCACCACCTCTCCCGGGCTGCCCCGAGCCTCCGTCTGCGCCGCCGTTGCCTGGAGACCTGCCGCCCCCTCCGCCGCCGCCGCCGCCTCCTCCGCTTGGCAGTGATGGGCCTGTGCCGCCGCCGCCCCTACCGCCTCCGGGAGGTCCCCCTGATGCCCTTGAAGGACCTAGCCTAGAGATGGGCCCAGGTGAATGGAATGGACCGCCCAGGGTAGAGGATGGTGGGGGCGGAGATGGAACAGAGCCTCAGTCTCTGAATCCTCCAGACCCTCTGCTTGGGGACCACCGACTACCCTTGACCTGCCCTGTCAGGTTTCGCTGGCCTGGTTTCCTCGCTGGCCTCTTGTGCTTACCACTCTCCCTCCTCCCCCACCCCACAGGAGTGAAGGCCAAGAAACCCATCCAGACTAAGTTCCGGATGCCACTCTTGAACTGGGTGGCCCTGAAACCCAATCAGATTACAGGCACCGTCTTCACAGAGCTCAACGATGAGAAGGTTCTGCAGGTGAGCAGGCCTGCTGGCAGTGTGGGCACCAGAGGAGGGGCTGGTGGGTATCACGATGTGGACATTCAGATTGGATTGGTGAATCCAGTCTGACTCTCCTGGAGGCTTTCCCCTCTCCCCAAGCGAGTGGCTCATCCCTCCCCCTCTGTCTGGCCCCTTCTCTTAGGCCCCTTTTTCACAGACAACCAGGGTCTCTGCCCTCCTGGGTCTAGTTTTTTTTCTAGAAGAGAGGTGTGATCTTGCCTGTGCCAGGAATACTCTTCCCTTTTCCCTATTTACTGCTGGCCAGTTCAGCCCTTTAGCTCTAATGGCCAGAGTCTGGGTCCCTTGGGTTGGGTCAGTCTCTCCTCTTCCTTCAGCCAATCAGGGCCTGTGGTCAAGTTGGCTCACTGCTTTGTCTTTCACTAGTTTGTGTCTCTGCTGCTCAACCAGGAGTGTGGCAGACCTTGTCCACACCCAGCCCTGCTTTCTCTCTCTGCACTCTCAGGAGCTGGACATGAGTGACTTTGAGGAGCAGTTCAAGACCAAATCTCAAGGCCCCAGCTTGGACCTCAGTGCTCTCAAGGGCAAGGCAGCCCAGAAGGCCCCTAGCAAGGCCACACTCATAGAGGCCAACCGGGCCAAGAACCTGGCCATCACGCTGCGCAAGGGCAACCTGGGGGCTGACCGGATCTGCCAGGCCATCGAGATGTGAGTACCTGTGCTCAGGGCTGTGGGCAGCCCCGCCCCTCCGCTAGGTCAGAGTCATCAGGTGGATCCCCCAGTTGTGGGACAGCCCATCAAGCTTCATAGCCATCTTGGTCAGGAAACCTTGTCCTCATTTCCAGGCCAAGAAAGCTGAGGCCATTACTGTGAGTCCATGCCCAGACTGGGACATTCCCACTCCCTTCCTGCTTTTGCCTGCTGTGAGCAATCAGGCTGAGGGATTTATAGTAGGCATTTGCCACCGATGTATAAGTGGGATCTGGACTTCCCATCTTCTGATTTCACTTGACTCCTACCTCTTGTTTTCTGAAGCTGATGGCAAATATTGAAGTTCATTTATTGGACCAGAGGAGGAGGCATTGTGTTGTTCTCAGGGACTGGTAGATGTTGGCAATACCCACTCTCCCCTCTGCTCCCCGCACACAGGTATGACTTGCAGACTCTAGGTCTGGACTTCCTGGAACTGTTGACCCGCTTCCTGCCCACGGAGTATGAGCGCAGCCTCATTGCCCGCTTTGAGCGGGAGGAGCGGCCGATGGAGGAGCTGTCGGAGGAGGACCGCTTCATGCTGCGCTTCAGCCGCATCCCTCGCCTGCCGGAGCGGATGACCACGCTCACCTTCCTGGGCAACTTCCCAGACACGACCCAGCTGCTCATGCCGGTGTGGGCGGGGTGGACAGGTGGTGTGGCTTGGGGTGGAGGTGGGGAGGAGGCATCTCCCGGCCTGGGCTCTAAGAGGGCACCTGGGAGTATTTGAGCCTCCTGACAGGGGAGGCTCCGATCTACATAAACTCTCCTGTACCATTCCCAGCAACTGAATGCCATCATTGCAGCGTCAATGTCTATCAAGTCCTCTGACAAACTCCGTCAGATCCTGGAGGTGAGAGCCCAGGGAGCAGGGCCAGAGGCAGGGCCCCCCTTGCCTGTTCTGGGTAGTGTGAGGGAGGCCCAGGCCTTGCCCACCTTGGATGCAACAAAGATAATGTCCCTACTTCTCATATACATGCTCAGAATGACAAGCTGAGAAGGGGGTGAGGATTCGCTAAAGCAGCCATGTCTGTAACAGCAGACCTGAGACCCACAGAGGGCTAAGCCCCTCTGGGAATTGCTGTGTGAATGGCAAAGCAACCACACCTGCACAGTGGAGTGTCCAGGAACCAAAATATTAGAAAAGTGGGAACCCCACAGCCTAGGAGTGGATGTTGGCAACTACTCAGTTTTGGGTTAGTATAGATAAAATCGGGTGTGCTCATGGTGTTAAATGGTGCACACATGTGAGACATGTATACATAAATTTGTCATGAAACTAAAGTATTCACTCAGGAGCACAACAGGCTGAGTGTGCAAGCTTGCTTTTCTTGCCACCTTTTTTTTTTTTGGCAGTACTGGAGTTTGAACTCAGGGCCTCATGCTTGCTAGGCAGGCATTCTACCATTTGAGCCACTCCACCTTGCCACCTTTTCTCTTTCTTGTAATATATGCTTAAGGGGGCTTCCTCAGCTCTAGCACCCTGTTGAGTTCCTCCTCTGCCTCTTCCAGATTGTCCTGGCTTTTGGCAACTACATGAACAGCAGCAAGCGTGGGGCAGCCTATGGTTTCCGGCTCCAGAGTCTGGATGCGGTGAGGGAAGGGACCCTGGCACAGGAGATGGGGGCTGGCTGGTGGGCCGTGGCTCACAACAGGTCCTTGTGTAGCTGTTGGAGATGAAGTCTACTGACCGCAAGCAGACGCTGCTGCACTACTTGGTGAAGGTCATTGCTGAGAAGTACCCGCAGCTCACAGGATTTCACACTGATCTGCACTTCCTGGACAAGGCAGGCTCAGGTATGGGGTTCCAGGGCCTTAGGTGCAAGCAGGGGCACTCAGTCCTGGGGCCACTGGGCTAGTGTTGGTTGGAAGAAAGCAAAGGGACCACAGGATGTAACTGGGGGTGCTGCCTGATTCTCTTAACTCCATGTTGCTCCCCTATCTGCTCCACTCAGTGTCCCTCGACAGTGTCCTGGGGGACGTGCGTTCCCTGCAACGGGGCCTGGAGTTGACACAGCGGGAGTTTGTGCGTCAGGATGACTGCATGGTGCTCAAGGAGTTCCTGAGGACCAACTCGCCCATCATGGACAAGCTGCTTGCAGACAGCAAGACAGCTCAGGTGGGCTGGGGCTGGCCTGGCTTGGTGGCGGGAGGTTGGGTTTGGGGATGGAGTACTTGCCATTGGAGTACTAGGTGGGGATGTGTAGCCAAGACCTGGGAGGGCATGGCCACAGGTGGGACCTCTTGGAAGATGGAGCAGGAATGAGGGGCCAAACTGCCTGGAGGACCAGAGATGAGGTGGCAGTGTCCCTGAGGGTTACAAAGCCAACATCAGGCTCCAAAGGTCTGTGCTGGTAGGGCTGATGGGCTGTGCTTGCAGGAGGCCTATGAGTCTGTGGTGGAGTACTTTGGAGAGAACCCCAAGACTACATCCCCCTCCATGTTCTTTTCCCTGTTCAGTCGCTTCACCAAGGCCTACAAGGTACATGGGGCTGGTGGGTGGGCTGAGGGCCCTGAAGTCTTTTTACCTGGACAGTGGGAGGGGTAGGGGCTGTTTGTGTCATGGGTAGGTCAGGGAAGGAGGGAGGGCTGCTCTCACCAAGATCCACCTTGGTCCCTCAGAAAGCCGAGCAGGAGGTGGAACAGTGGAAGAAAGAAGCAGCTGCTCAGGAAGCAGGCGCCGACATCCTGGGCAAGGGAGAGTCCCCAACACCCAAGGTAGGCAGCTGTCCCTGAGCCTGGTACTGAGTGAGATGCAGGAATATGTGTTATCCTCATCGCCATCTGACACCAGCCCCAGACCCTCATTGTCAGGGACAGGCCCTGCCCAAGGACAATGCAGTGCCCAGGGGCCAGGGAAGAAGGGGCTTCCTCCTGATCCAGTCAGCAGTCCTTGCTGTGACCAGGCAGATGCTCTAGGGTTGGGTGTAGTGGGAGGGATCCTGGAGCTGGAACTGTTTATCCCCCCCAGTCTCCACCCAAGGCCCGGCGACAACAGATGGACCTCATCTCTGAGCTGAAACGGAAGCAGCAGAAGGAGCCACTCATCTATGAGAGCGACCGAGATGGTGCCATTGAAGACATCATCACAGGTGAGGGCTTGGCCAGGCTTCTGTCCTTTCGTCAGTCTGTCCTATTCCCCCATGGGGGTTCTGGCTGCTTCACTGCCTCTTGCTACCTCTTCTGTTTTTCTTTCCTTTTTCTCTTCTCTATCCTTGTCACCCCATCCACCAAACCTCAGTGCTTAAGACAGTGCCCTTCACGGCCCGCACTGGCAAGCGGACATCCCGGCTCCTCTGTGAGGCCAGCCTGGGAGAGGAGGTGCCCCTCTAACCCCCAGGTACATGGATGGCTTGGTGTCTGATCTCAGCACTGCAACTCTGGGGACCTTAGGGGCAGATCATGCTTTCCTCCCCTGGGACAGTGCATGGTTGGGATGTGTCGGGGGGTGGGGTGTCTGACAAATGTAAACAGTGCCCTCTCCCACATGTACACAACCGGTGTCCTTAGAAGGGTAAGCATGTGCTCTAGAGCCTGGTCCCAGCTCTGGACAGACTCCTGAAGGACTAATGTATCTCCTTTGGCTGCCAGATCTCCGGAACCAGCCCTACATCCGTGCAGACACAGGCCGTCGAAGTGCTCGCAGGCGCCCCCCAGGACCACCCCTTCAGGTCACTGCTGACCTCTCTCTGTAGCCTCTATTTTTGGGCAGGTGGATTCTGTAGGGGGTGGGGGACTATGAGCAGGCTGGGGCTCAAGGAAGGTGGGCCTCAGTTCGGCTGGGCCGAGCACCCTCTCCTCCTGCTGTCCACTTCCTTGGGCTGGCCTCCCGGGCGCATTCTCCTCCTGCCTCAAGGGCAGCAGCGCTGGCCTCATACCCCCAAATGCTGCTTGCAGCACCACCCCTCCACAATAGCCATACTTAGCCTGAGCGGAAGCCTGGCCTGTAACTTATAAAGTGCACCATGCCCCTCATTCCCCCCAGGCCCTAAAACTCTCCTTGGACCTTATTTTTATACAAGATTAATAAAGATGTTTTCAAAAGATCTGCGTCCGCTCAGTGCGTTCCCCCTACCCCCAATCCCTTCCACCATGCGCATCCCATTTCGCTCAGCAAACGCTTTACTTGTACAAGCTCTTCATGGCAGATCTCTGCAAACAGGCTGGTGAAGGGGAGAAGGGCTGCTTTTGCACTAGAGTTGGCAGGGAGGGATCCAGCTTCGCGGGGCGCATTTGCTTCAGCGGCTGGGTCACTAACCCTGCTGAAGGGCAGAAGGACATTCGGAATGGTCAAGAGGGCAGTTAAAGACACCAGATTTGCACTATCTGGGGCTATCTTCCTGCTGCGGGCCCCACTTTTCCGTCGCCCTTCCTGTTACCTGGTTGCCCCTTTTAGCCGCCCTACCTAATAGTCACTCCTCCCCCTGCGCCTGCTACGTCTGCATTTCGGTTCTGCTCCCTCTCTTTGCCTGCCCCTCCTGTCCGCCAGTCACACCCCATCTGTGTCCCGCCCCTGCCCCATCTGCCCTGCCCCTATTCTCCCCGGCCCATCCCACCCCGCACGCTGTCTCACACCTTGGCAGAGCGGCCTCAGGTTGAGCTGGGTCTTGCGGCGACTGGGCTGGTAGGGCTTGGGAAGACGGACTTCGGAGACCCGGGTTCGGCCCCGCTTCCTGCATTCTGGTCGAGTCCGCCCAGTCAGGGTGGGTATCTGAGAATAGGGGCTGCGCGCACCTGGGGCAGGCGCCCAGGAGAAGGAAGAGGAGAGCACAGTGCTGGGTGCGTGTCCTCATGATCCAGAGGTGGGGGTAGGGTAGGGACTGTGTGTGGACCAGGAGCGTCCCTCCCCCCGTGGGTCCCCCCCATGCCCCTCCGCGGCCCGCTGGGGACACACCCGCTCTGGACAGTCTGTGCAGAGATCGCGCCAGCTCGGAACTGGAGAGGCCACTTATGCGCGCCGCCTGGCAGAAGTAGTTGAGGCCGGGTTGGGAGCGCACGGGCCGCCCTTGGCCGCGGGCTCGGCCCCTCCAGCTTGGGCTCAGTCGCAGAACCCGCTGTTTCTTGGAGTAGTAGCTTGGAGGAGAAAGGTGAAGCAGGCTCCTAAGACACTGCCTCTCTGTGTTCTCCATCTCACCACAGGTGGCAAAACCCAAGCAGGAAGGAAGCCACTTGTCTTTGGCCCCAGGGCCACTTGGGGCCCAAGAAATGGGACCCAGGAGTCAAAAACTTATATTATTTATTCGGGAAAATGCTACATCAGGGGCTCCAATTATTAGTGGTACTAATCAATTGCCAAATCCACCGATAAGAATTGGCATTACTATGAAAAAGATTATTACAAAGGCATGGGCTGTGACGATGACATTATAGGTTTGGTCGTCTCCTAACAGGGTCCCATCTCTGAGGCAGGAACAGCAGGGGTTCCCTCTAGGCGTAAATTGTGTTCCGATCCTGGAGGACGCATCCCAGGAGCTGGGGATGGTTGTGCCTACCTTATCACCTCCTGCCCTGACTTGGAGGGCACCAAGCCCTGTCTCAGCAGCTTGAACACCACCTCTAGGAATAGGGTCTGGAGGCCCTGGGGGTCACAGACCCGACTGCTCCTCACTTGGCCTGGGGGAAGAGAACATGAGGGAGGGTGAGGAGAGCCTCCCCAGGCCAGGCCCACCACTGTGGACAAGCCTTGCCCCTTACCCATGCACTGAGCCAGGCGGTGGTTATCAGTGAGGACGCCCAGGAAGTCCTTGAAGCTTACAATTCCATCACCTGGAAAGAGAGAGGAGGGTGCTGTGGGTGCCTGCTCTGGCACAAGGTCTGCTCTGTACATGCCATAAAGGCTTGCCAGCCAGGTGTTAAGAGAAAGCAAAAGGGCTGGCAGAGTGGCTCAGGTGGTAGAGCACCTGCCTAGCAAGTGTGAGGTCCTGAATTCAAACCCCAGTAGCACCAAAAAAAAAAAAAAAAAAAAAGCAAAGGACACCCTAGTTAGAATAGGGGAGGAGAAATAACCCTGGCATGGGGATCCCCAAGACAAGATGAGAATTAACTCAGCAGCAGTGTTTAAGGGCCATGACACAGAGGTGTAGATCAGGGCAGGCTTTGTGGAAGAGGAACTCTTAAATAGATCCAGTCTAGGGATTATTGTGGGTGGGGTGGCATTCATCAGGAGAGTGCCTGGAGGTGGGAGAGGACAAAAGAGCAGGGATGGTGCACCCACCATCTAAGTCTGCCAGCCGAAGAGCCTCACACATCTCCTGAGGGCCCAGGTGGATACCCACATTGTGCAGGACAACTTTCAAGCTACACATGTCCACAGTGCCTGTGGGGCTGCAGCTGAACAGTTTGAAGATATCCTGGAAGGCTGAGGGCAGAGAGGAGGACAAGCAGCAAGATGAACTGTATACATGGTCGACACTGACTGCTGCCACTCCAGCTTAGTTGGGACCAACGTTATAACTTTTGATACAAAGAACAACCGTGGCTACTGTGTGTTGTCATGTTAAGTGCCCATTCAATCCTCATTTCCAAAACTCAGGCTTGGACATGCTTGTATAAAAAGGATGTAAACCTCACGTCCAAGGTCCATACCTGGCATTCTGGCTCTGGAGCCATAGTGCTCTAGAGCCCTGCAAGTGCCTGGCATGTAGCAGGTACTGAAATTTGTTGATGATGTAGAAAATTATTCTGTTTTTGATGGGCTCCCGCCAACATCAGTATGTGATTTTTAGAGAGCACTGTGGCAGTGATTCCTTTTATCACCCCTCCGCCCCGCCCCCCGCCCACAGCTCACACTGTGGGAAGCAGGTAAACTCATTCTTTTCTGCCTCTCTCCTTCCCTTCTTCCTTATCATCTTGTCCATGTATCCATCCATCCAAATGCCTTCACCTATCGATCTAGTTTTCCTTCCTTTACACACACACACACATACACACACACACACACTTTTCTAGGGTCAGGCACATTGGTGAGCCCTCAGGCTGTACAGACTAGCATGTAGGGAAGGTTACAAATACTGGCTTCTTGCAAGAATTACAAATACTGACCCCAGCCTCAGGCTTTCTCCAGTCCAGGGCTCTCACCTGATAGCTGCCGGGGTGTCAGGGGCAGAAGGTTCTCCTCTGTCAAGCTGCCCCAGGGGGAAGAGGTTAGACAGGCCTTTGCACCTGCTGCAGAGAGATGCCAGGGCCAGGCAGGCCTTACCCCAAACCCAGCACCCCAGGCCTGGCCTTGAGTCCTCTCCTCACCTCTGAGACCTGGCATCTGGGTCAAACTGAGCCCTCTGGGTAGCATTAGGGTCCACGAATTCTCTTGCTCTCCTTGTGGTCTGCTCATACTTTGTAGCTGTGGTTGCTGCTGGCTCCCTGTGAGTCACCTGGGCAGAACGCAGCTGCAACCTCCCTTTCTTCATGCTGCTGCCCTGCTCCTGTCTTGCATCCCATGTGAGCAGCCTTCGAGGCTTCTGTGGAGGCCTTAGAGGCAGGGAGAAGACAAGGCATAGACTCCAAGAGACCTGGGACCAGGCTTGCTGCACAAGTCCATCTCCTCCCAGAATCCTCTACACCAAGCTGCACCCACAACCCTCCATCCAGGATACTCTGGGGGCAGAGCTAAGGTGTGATCCCCCACCTCAGGTGAGGGAGAAGAACAGACCCCCCTCTGGTAGCCTCAGTCACCTGTACCTTATCTGTCTCGATGGGGATCTCTTGATCTTCTGCTCTCTGCTGCCTGAAAGGCAGAGTCACAGGCTCTGAGGCTGCTCCAGTGCCCTAAACCCACAGCCCCCAGGCTGCCTTTGTGGTGGATTTTGTCTTTTGGCAAGAGGTGCACTGTTTCCCTCACCATAGCCCTGCTTCTCTCTGCTGGGGCACCTGTTGCCTTATTTTTCTGAGTTTCTGCCTCCCTTCAGGCACCTGAATTGGTGCACTCTGGATGCTAAGTCAAGATGGCAGAGGCCCAGAAAGAGAAGCATGCCACAGGGTCCAAAAGCCAGGGGCTGAGAGCATGGGATCCAGTCCAGTATAAACACATCTACCACATTTAAAAAGTACTCCATGAAACCTTAACAATTTTAGAAGACTAGAAATCATACGATGTCTGTTCTCTGATCACAATGGAATTAAATTAGAACTCAGTAACAGAAAGATAGCCAGAAGATTCCCAAATACTCAGAGATTAAATAATACATTACTAAGTAACCCGTGGGGCCAGGTATAGTCATGCATGCCTATAATCTTGGTACTCCAGAGTCTGAGGCAGCAAGATTGTGAATTCTAGGCCAGTCTGGGCTACATAGCAAGACCATGTCTCAAAATAAAACTCAACACCCCACACATGGTTAAAAGAAGAAATCTCAGGAGAAATTTTAAAATATTTCAAATGAGAATAAAAGTACAAACCATTCAAAATTGACACTTTTTAAAGAAATGCATATTTTAGAGAAGGAGAAATATCCAAAATCAATAATCAGAGTTTCTACCTTAGGAAACTGGAAAAGAAAGTGAAAGCCAAATTCAAAGTAAGTAGAATGAAAATAATAAAAACTAAAACAGAAATGGATAAAATTGAGAGCAGAAAATAAAGAGAGAGGACTGACTTGGAGGTGTGGCTCAAGCGGCATGAAGCTCTGAGTTCAAACCTCAGTCCCACCAATAAATAAATAAACACAAGGAGAAAAGCCAAACTACTAACAGCAGGATGCGAGACATCACTACAGATCTCATGGGCATTCAAAGGAAAGAAAGGAATGTTACGACTTTATGCCAATGATTTTCGTAACTTGCAAGGAATGGACCAATTCCTTGCAAAACACAATCTGTCAAAACTCACACAAGAAAAGAACAACAAAAAAAAGAACAAAAAAACTCACAGAAGAAAAAATAGACAACTGAATGGATCTATAGCTATCAAAGAAATTGAATCAATAAAACTAATAACTATTCAAAACAGAGAACACCTGGCCTAAGATGGGCTCACTGGTGAATTCTACCAAACATTTAGTGAACAAATACCAATTCTCTACAGAAGCTAGAAGTCAAAGGAATATGTCCTAACTCATTCTATGAGGCTATTACCCAAATTTCAAAAACCAGAAAAAGACATTTCCAGAAAACTAGACCAATATTTCTCATGAACATAGATGCAAACAAGCTTTGACAAACTAATAGCAAACTAAATCCATCAATGTATAAAAACAATTACAGATCACAACCAAGTGGGATTTTTTTCTAGGAATGCAAGGCTGTTTCAACTTTGAAGAATCAATGTGATCTTTCACATCAACAGGTTAAAGAAGAAAAAACACACAGCCATATAAACAGATGTGGAAAAAGCATTTGATAAAATTAAAAACCCATTTTTTTAATAACAAAGACCTTAACTAAGAAAATAGAACTTCTTCAACTTGATAAAGGACATCTACAGAAGTCTACAGCAAACATCAAACCTAATGGTGAGAAACAAAGTTTTCCTGCTAAGATCAAGAATAAGGCAAAGATGTCCCCATTAAGAGATGTTTTTTAACATTGTACTTGAAGTCCTAGGTAGTTTAATAAGACAAGAAAAAGGAATAAAAGGCCCACAGATCAGAAAGGAAGACATAAAACTATCTTTGTCAATGGCATCATTTCCATTCACATGGAAAACACTGAATCTAGACACAGACACTTCACAACAGTGAACTCAACCATGGATCAGACTGCTGGGTGCTGTGGCTCGTGCCTGTAATCCCAGCTACTCTGGAGGTAAAGATTGGAAGGATGGCAAAAAGTGAGACCTCATCTCAACCAACAAGCTGGGAATGGTGGCTCAAGCCTATGATCCCAGTTACCCAGGAGGCCATAGACAGGACAACTGTAGTCTGAGTCAGCCTCAGGCAAAAACATGGGACCCTACCTGAAAAATAACTGAAAAGCAAGAAGGGTCTGAGGGCATGGCTTAAGTGGTAGAGCAGCTGCTTAGCAAGCACAAGGCCCTGAGTTCAAATCCCATACTGCCAAAAAAAATAGATCATAGAACTAAATGTAAACCCTGAAATTATACAACTCCTAGAACAAAATGGGTATGCAACGATTTTTTAGATACAACACTGCAGACATGCTCTGTGAAAGAACTAATTGATAAGTCAAACTTCATTAAAGTTAAACACTTCTGCTCTGCAAAAGACAATGTCAAGAGATTGAGAAGACAAACCACAGACTGGGATGAAATATTTGAAAACATACATTTGATTATGGGCTATTAGATAAAATATACAAATAACCTTTAAAAATCAATAAGGAAATGAATTAGCTAATTAAAATGGGCAAAAGCTGTAGGCAGACACCTTCTCAAAGAAAATATGCAAATGGAAAGTAAGCAAATGAGAAGATATTTCACAAATTAAAACGATGCAAATTAAAACGATGAGACACCAGCACACATCTATTAGAAATACCAAAATCCAAAACACTGACATCATCAAGTGCTGTGGAAGCAACAGGAACTCTCACTCTTTGCTGGTGGGCATGCCAAGTGGTGTCATCACCTTGGAAGACAGTTTGACAGTGTCATACAAAATTGAAGACTTCCTTACCATATATATGATCCAAGTCACACTCCTTGACTTGAAAACTTAAGTGTGCACAAAAACCTGTACACAGATGTTTGTAGCAGTTTTGTTCATAATGGCCAAAACTTGTACAACACGATATTATTCAGGGTTTAAAATAAATGAGTTCTCAAGCCATGAAAAGACAGGGAGGAAACTTATATGCATATTACTAAGGGAAAGGAGCCAATGTGAGAAGGCTACAAACTATACCATTCCAACTCAGTCTGGAAAAAGGAAAAGGAGAGAATGCAAGGACCAGTGGGTTCCAGGGCTTTCAGTGAAGGGAAGGGTGAATAGGTTGAGCACAGGGAATTTTTCTGTATGCCACTACGGTAGATGTATGTCATTATACATTTATCAAAGCCCACAACACCAAGAGTGAACCCTAAAATAAACTATGGGATTTGGGTGATGACGACGAGTCAATGTAGGTTCATTGGTTGTAGCAAATGTACCTCTCTGGTGTAGGATGTCGATAGTGGGGGAGGTTGTGGGCGTTGGGACAGAGAGTATATGGGAATTCTGTGATTTCTACTCAGCTTTGCTGGGCCCTAAAACTTCTCTGAAAAAATAAAATTTATTTAAAAATAAAGCCCCACACAAAAAACTCCAGGCTTCTGAGAGCCTAATAACGTCTGGTCCAGCCCCGCCCCACTCACTCATCTATGCATCTCTTCCTGGTTCCTCCTCCTAGCTTCCTGCCCCTTTTCCTCTGACCTTGCCCAAGTTTAATTGCTCACTCCCCCTTTCCTAATATCACTCTCACCTTTCCTCAGACTCTTCCAGGGTTTTGAAGATGGACTTTCCCTGGGCAGGGAACCTGAGGCTCGGAATTGGTCAAGGGTCTGACCAGGGTTGGGTGTGGTGCTTGAAATTCCAGCACCTGGGAAGCTGAGGTAGGAAGATGGCAAGTTCAAGGCCAGCTTGGGCTACAGGGTGAGACCCTGTCTCAGAAACAGGGGACTTTCTTTCTCCCAGACTTTCCTCTCCAAGCCCACACCCACTCTCACACAGCAAATTCCCTTCCTTCCTTTGTAGTCATCACCCTCTCCCAGAGATCCCTACATTGCCCTTCCTCTGGACCTCCCAGACACGAGAGGCCGGTATATGGCAGTGTGCTTCCTGTGTGTGGATGTTATGTGAGTGCTAAGCTGATGTGTGGGTTGTGTGTGGGTATGCTCTATTACGCATGGGCTCTCCCGATTTGGAGGTACCTCCAGCTCAAGGCTGTGGCCTCCTGGAGGACCAGTCCCAGGGCCTTTAAACTCTTGACACTATCCCTCCCCACTGCCAGGCCTCTCTCCCTGGAGAGACAGGAAGAACTTAGTTCAGATTTGTTTTCTTACCTGCCCAGTCCCACACCCAGGGGGTTTCCTCCCCAGATGATCCTAACATGTCCCTGGCTTCCCAGCCCTGAGAAGCTTCCCCAAGGCTAGGGTAGAGTCTTCAGGCTGCCTAAAGGTCTGGTAGGTGAGAGTGAAGTGGAACTTCCCCCGGGGAGTGAGCAGGCCAAGATAGATGGTCAGGTAGAGCTAGGGCAGCCAAAAATGGGGGTGTCATCCCTAAAAAAATTGAGACCAGAATGCAGCAGCCAGGTGAACTCACTGGTCTAGGAGCATTTGCACAAAAAAGTCTGAGCCGGGGCCAGCACTGGAGGCTTTAATGGTTTTGTCTAGTGATTTCTCTGGGGTTTAGGGGATAGCAGCTTAAAGTGGATTTTCAGCAATAATGGGTTCCCTTTCTTGGATCCTGGAGGCACAGAGCTGCAACACAAAAGAGACAGTATCACTATGGTCCCAGTGAGAGGGTGGGGGAGGGGGAGTCCTGTCATCGGAGTGTCTACTTCTTCTGAGCCTACAGTTGGTGTTCTATTCTGTGTCTATGCATCACCAGAGGCCAGAGGTGCTGGAGTCCTGCTCTCTCGCTCTCTCTCTCACGGAAGGGTCCTGGACCCTATTAGGAGCAATTCTGCTTTGAACCCAGGTCCCCACCCTAGCCCTGGAGAGCTCACCCTCCATGGTCCCCAGGTCTCTTCTGGCCCTGGCCTTGGCACTACACCTCAGTCCACTGGAATCTTGTTTCCAGTACTCTTTATGAGGTCACTGAGGTTGGAGCCTCACTGAACTGCTCCCAGACCCCCCACTCCACTTACACCCCAACAGGCTGTGCAAGGAGTGAGAGCCCACCCACCCACGCTAGCGTGGCCCCTTATGGGGGAATGTAAGCCAGCCTCACTCACTCTTCATTGGCTTCCCCAAGCTGGGGAGACATTGCTGGTGGCTGGAGAAACTTCACTTCTCCTTCAATGGTGGCTCTCTTGATCCCAGACTTGCTCAAGTCTAGGAAAGGATGAGGGAAGTTTCTGTCTTCCTGGGACCAAGCTTTCTGAAGCTCCAGTACTTTAGGCAATTTCTCTGACGGCTCTTGCTCCTTCTCAGAGGACTGGATGGGCTTTGCAGAAGGCCCTGCAGGCTCAGTAGAAAGTTCCACCGCCTTCCGGGGTGTTTTGAGCATTTGCTCCAACCTGGGCAAGTCAATGTTGCTGCAGGAGGCTATGGCTAGGGAAGATGCAAAGTTGATCAGATCTGCTAAGCCGATGGTCTGCGGGAGGCTGGAGGAGGATAGGCAGGGGCTTACTGGTGGCTGGGAGATTATGACTGGGAGAGTTGGCTGGGCAGCGGGGACAGACTTCTGCTCTGGGAGGCTGGTGGTCTCCTGTGTGCCACTCTTGTTGCACTGCATTTCAGCTTCATGCTGCAGGCTGTGCTCTGATGCCTGGATGAACTTGTCTGCCCAGAAGAGGTGCCTGGAGGTCTGCGCTTGGATGGAGCGATGTGGGAAGGGCACCTTGTCCTGCTGGACCAGGGGGGATTCCTGGTCCTCTGTGTGGCTGGTGCTTGAGCTTATGCTCCAGCTCCTGAAGTTCTGCAATGCCGGCACAAACTCTATGGTGGGCTGGATGGTTTCTATCCCGTAGCACTGCTGCTCAGAGCTTTCACTGCAGGACTCCAGGGTGTCTATCTTCCACTTGGGCTCCACATCCAGCTCAGCCTTTGGTATGGGTGCCTGGTACTGCTCTGGCTTCATCTTGAGGTTCTCCTCCAACTCTGGGCATGGGTCTAGGTCCGGGTCCTCTTGGGGAGGGGGCTCCTGCTCTAGCAATTCTGCCTCCATCTAAAAGGTTTCAACTAAAAGCTGAGGCAAGAATTGGGCATTCCTGCCCCACCCCCAGGTCTCCTATGCCCCACCCATGTACTGCCCGCTCCTCTCCCAACTTTTCTCAAAGATCTGCATGGGGCAGGTAGGCAGTGTGGGCAGGCGGGGAGGGTGAGTGTGCGGGAGCACGACCATACTGGTACTAGGGTCCCAGAACTGTCAAGGTTAAAAGCGGTCAAGATTTAAGAAAGATGGGCCTCAAAGAATGCTGACCCTTGCTAACCACCTCTCATAAGGGGTCACTCTTACCTCTGCTTCATCATCTTGTACTTCATGGCGGGGGGACCGGTCATACATGAGGTCATTCCTGAGACAGAAGGAGTCAGAATGGGGTGATAAGGGATCTGTGAGGGGAGGAGTGGCTTCAGGGAAATGACATCCCTTTTCCCTCCCCAGCCTTTTGGCCTGGACGCTGGCCTTGGGGAGATTTTGGCAAAATAGAGGGAGATCCTAGGGGTGTGTGTGTGTGAGGGGGAGGGGTACAGGACACAGTATCAGGGGGAAGGGCTGGGGTTCCTGAGGGCTGCAGGGAGCGGTCCTATGGTGATGGGGAACTGGTTCTCACGGCTTTTCCACGATCTCTACCGAGTCCTTGCCACAGCAGGGAAAAGCGTTGGTACCTGGCAGGGAGAAGGAGGTAAGGCCAGGTTGCTGCAGGAGGGGGACAATCCCTGATGGAACCTGGAACCAGGGTCAGTAGTGCTGCCCAACCACCCTCCATGTCTTCCCTCACCTCAGCCTGTCTGCCATCTCCCCTCCCATCCTGCCCCTCCTCGCTCCCTTGCCAGTGTCACTAATCCTGGCTTCCAAGTCCACTCCTCTTCACTCGCCATCTTGGCCCTGCACCAACTCGGATCCATCACCCTCCCTTCCACAAGGGCGAATGCTGACAGGACTCTCTCCTGTCCTGTCCTGTCCTGATGGAGTGCCACCGTAGCCCAGGCACTTATGTGTTTTATTTCATTGACGCTACAGAAAAAAATTAGAGGGAATTCATTTGCTCAATATCCCACGGGTGATGGTTGCTGAACCTTAAGAACTCAACTCCCTGCTGGGCTCTGCTGTACTGTGCAGGAGCCCATGGCTGCTGGGCTCATCAGACCCCAGGGAACCTGCCTCATCCCCCTCCATTCTTGTGACTCTGTTACTTCCTGTGCTCCTTCCACTCATCCATCCCAGTCTAGGCCAAGGCCTTCTTGCCAAGAGAGGTGATGCTGCTCCTGCAACTGCTGGTTTGTGAGTTTGGATCACCCTCTGTAGTCCCAGGGGCCGAGTGACTTTTGGGAAGGCCCCAAGGCCAGGCCCTTCTCTGAGGCTTATGTCTTGGGGAGAGGTTTTTTTTTTTTTTTTTTTTTTTTTGTCTTTTCTTTTTTGGTGCTGGGATCGAACCCAGGGCCTCACGCATGCTAGGCAAGCGCTGTACCACCGAGCTACATCCCAGCCCGAGGCTTATGTCTTAAAAGGCAGAAACTCCTCAGGGAATGGAGCACTCAGGGTGTCCTATTCTCTGCTTCCCAGGGCAGTGGATAAGGGATTATAGGGAGAAATCATGGCTATCAAACATTATGCAAGGTGGGTCCCCAAAGGCCTGGGGACATCTCTGTTCTGACTGAGAATTGCTCCCAGGATTTATACCAGAAGCACCAGAATAGGTGGTGTCCTCTTCCTAGAGATGGTAGAAGCCGGAGGGGGTAGTGCTTGCATGGTTTGGTCCTGGAATGGGGACTTGGGCACATCTGTGCTTCATTCTGGGCCTTGGGATCTTGGATCTGCTGTGTGGTGAGGCTTTGAGGGCACTGTCATGGGCAGGACCCCAACAGCCAGCTCTGCGTCCTTGTCCATGTGCTCCCCTGGCTTTCTCCACACATCTTTTCCATCTCTAGCTCCATCTACCCCAAGCATGGCTCTTCCCCACCTTCTGACCACAGAGCCTTCCTTGCTGGATTTATAGTTTTTCTGAACAATTTAATCACCACTCAGTTTCAACCCTTCTGTAAACAGCAACTGAGTATGGACAGAACCAAAAATTACTGTGCCTCATAACGGCACTGAGAAGTCCGAGGTTGACTCAATTTGGAACCTCTGTGCACTGACTTAGGAATGTTCTATTAGGGCTTCAAATTCCAGTTGTTGCTAGTATATAGAAATATATTAATCTTGTATCTTGCAAATATGCTAAAATCCTATTCTAGTAGCTTTTTCCCCTTGTATTCCATAGGATTTTATACATATTCAGTAATATGTGCAAATCAAGACAATTTTACTTGTTCCTTCCCAGTCTGTTGTGCTTCTTTTCTTTTTCTTCCCTTATTGCACTGGCAACAATCTCCATACATTGTTGAATAGAAGTGACCTTGCTTTGTTCCCAAGCTTATGGGGAAAAACTCAGTATTTCCTCAGTAAGTATGGTGTTAGCTATAGACTTTTCCCCCTTCTTTCAGTTTTTGGATGGAGTCTGCTATGTTGCCCAGTCTGGTCTTGAACTCTTGGGCTCAAGTCATCCTCCTGTATCAGCCTCCCAAAATAGCTGGAGTGACTATAGGGATTCACCACCAGGTCTGGCTCAGTTGTTTAGTTTTTATTAGAAATGAGTATTGGGTTTTGTCCAATGCTTCTTAGGCATTTACTGAGATGATGATAGGGTTTTTCTTTTGACACATATATGTATATATATAATTAATTAACATAAGAGTAATGTTATACTAATATATATCATAATTCATTAACATTTGATCAATGTTATACTAATAAGTTTATTCTTTTATATTCTGTTAATATTTTGGTTATAGTGAAGTAAAATAATTTTTAAATGTTAAATTAATCTTGCATTACCACAATAAAACTTCATTTGGTTATAATATCTTTTTTTTAACATTGTAGATTCTGATTTTTTTTTAGAAATTTCATATATATATTCATGGATATATTGGTGTCTAATTTTCTTTTCTTGTAATGAGTTTTTTTTTTCTTGGTGAGACTGGGTTTTGAACTCAGGGGTCTACCACTTGAGCCATACCTTTGGTCCATTTTTCTCTGGTTGTTTTACAGATGGGATCTCAAGAACTGTTCGCCTGGGCTGGCCTCAAACCCCCAATTCCTTTGATTTCAGCCTCCCAAGTAGCTAGGATTATAGGTATGAGCCACTGGTACCCATATCTCTGATTAGGTTTTGATACTGTCATAATGATGGTTTCATAGAATGAATTGAAAAGTATTTCCTCTTCATTTTCATGAAAGAGTTGTGAAAAATTGGTAATATTTCTTCCCTAATGTTGGTAGAATTCACAAGTGAATTGCATCTGGAGTTTCTTTGTGCGCTATTTTGTCTGTTTCTTCTTTTTTATTATAATATATATTGTAAAATATACATAGCATAAAGTTGATCAGTTTAACCTTTTTTTTGTTGTTGCTGAGGATGAAACTCAGGGCCTTCTGTATGTTAAGTGTGTGCTCTACCACTAACTACTTTTCCAGCCCTCATTTTAGCCATTTGTTAAATGGTTAATCAAGAGCATCAAACACAGTCACACTTTTATGCAATTTTGGCTGAAATCCAATTCAGTTTTTTTTTTTTTGTACTGGTGTTTGAACTCAGGTGCCCTTTTTGCTTTAATTATTTTTCTTCTTTTTGTTTTCCACATGAATTTGACTTAATTTTTTACACCATAAATTTTCCACAGCTCAAACTATTGTCAATGAAAATTAAAATTCAACAAGTTGTAACAAAGGTAAAACTGTATGTTTCTGTTTTTCATCACTGTCGGGTTTTTTTGGGGGGGTGGTGGGGTCTTTATTTTGTTTTGTTTTTTGAGACAGGATCTTGCTGTGTAGCTCAGATTGGCCTTGAATTCTAACCCTCCTGCCTCCGTCTCCAGAATGCTGGGATTACAAGCATGCACTATAACAGCAAGCTTCATCACTGTGCTTCTTAAACTTTTTTTTTTTCCCATGGTACTGGAGGGTTGAATTCAGGGTCTCATGCTTTGTAGACTTTACTGCTTGAGCCCTTAACTGTAAACCTGGCTGTTGGCTGTTGTTCTTGTTAATAGTTGGGGATTTCACATAGGGTCTCCACTGTTGCCTGGGCTGGCTTGGACTGTGATCCTCCTATTTTTTTGTGCCTCCTGAGTAGCTGGGTTGACAGGCATGCACCACTGTGCCCCACTTACTGATTGAGAAGGAGTCATGCCAAATTTTCCCCCAGGTTGGCCTGGAACCATGATCCCACCTCCTTAGTAGCTGGGATTACAGGTAGGATCTATAGCACCCCCTTTCTTTTTTTGAGTCAGGGCTTCACTATGTAGCCCAGGCAGGCCTGGAACTCTGATCCTCCTGCCTCAGCCTCCCAGTGTTGAGATTACAGGTGTGAACCACCATACCCATGGAATTCATATCTTTTAAGGAATTGGTCCATTTTATATGTTATCAAATTCATTGGCATGAATTATTTACAATATTACCTTATCCATTTCACTTATTTAGAATCTACAGTGATATAATCCATTTATTTCTGATAGCTTTTTGTCTTCTTTTCCACTAGGGATTTATTAATTTTGTTGACAACAAAGAACCAGCTTTTGGTTTCACTGGTTTTTCTCTATTGTGTCCTGCTTTCTTTTCATGGATTGCCACTTAGATCTTCATTATTTTTCCCTTTGTTTACTTTGGGTTTCTATTGCTTTGCTGCTCCTTCCTCCCTCCCTCCCCTCTCCCTCCCTTTCTTTCTCTTCCTTGCCACCCCCCCCTCGTTTTTTTTGTGAGTAAAGCAGGAGAGTTTGTTGAGATAGAAAAGTAACAAAGAGTAGAACTCCCAGAGCTGGGAGGGGTCCCAAGAGAAGGTGTCCCCCCTTTTTTTTGAGATAGGGTTTCACTATGTAGCCTAGGGTGACTTATCAGACTCTTGAGTGCTGGGATTACAGATGTGTACCACCACACCCTGCTCCTGTCTAGTTTCTGAAGGTGCAAGCTGAGATAATTGATTTGAGACCTTTCTTTTTTTCTAACACAGGATATTATTTCCATAACTTTTGCTGTATGCCACAATTATCAGTGCTGTTTTCCTTTTCATTCAGTTCATAAGACTTTCTAATTTCCACTTTGCTTTCTTCCTTGACTCATGAGTTATTCAGAAGTGTATTGTTTGCCAAATATTTGAGTAATTTACACTTATCCTTCTGTTATTGATTTTAATTCTATTATGGCCAGAGAACATACAAAATATGACTTGAATCATTTTAAACTTTTTGAGACTTTTATACCTTTCAGAATATGATCTTTTGTGGACTGGAAAAGAATGTATATTCTCCCCGCTGCTGGGTGGAATGTTCTATTAATGTCAATTAGGTAGTATTGCTCAAATCTTTTAGATTCTTAGTGACACAGAACAGTGCTTAAATCTTTAACTAAATTGTACACTTATCTGTATCTCCTGGCAGTTTGTATCAGTTTTTGTTTAATGTATTCTGAAACTCTGATATTCAGTGCATAATCATTCAGGATAATTATTCTTTCCTTTTTTTTTTTTCCTTGGTGGAACTGGGGTTTGAACTCAGCTTCATGCTTACAAATCAGGCACTCTACCATTTAAGCCACACTTCTGATACATTTTGCTCTGGTTATTTTGGAGATGGGGTCTAGAACTATTTGCCTGGGCTGGCCTCAAACTGAGATCCTCCCAAGTAGCTGGGATTACAGCTGTGAGCCACTACAGACTGGCTTTTTTTTTGAGAAAGGTTCTCCCTATGTAGTCCAGGCTGGTCTCAAACTCATGATCTTCCTGCCTTGGTCTTCTGAGGGCTAGGATTAGAGGCAAATGCCACCATCCTCTGCTTAA